TGCTTTAGTTGGTACTCTGTTTAGAATATAAGCTGTCATATTTAGTATCTCTCCCCAAAGTGATTCCAGTAAGGTGGAATGACAAATCATACTCTCTACCATATCTTTAAGAGTGTAACACAAGCCCAAACGTCACAATTTGATGTTACCTGAGCACTTGTGCCATAATGCACTTGAGTGAGTATTTTCAATTTTTACGTTTAGTACCACATGATTCTGTATTAAGGGTTTCATTATAGGTGGCAACAATATCAAGTAAATACTGATTATCATAAATCAAAAGTGAACCAGTTCCAACAATATCTGAATTAAAAGACAAACTGAACTTATTGTTTCCAAATGAACACAAATAACATAATTTGTCCAAATAAGAAACTGAAACCAAATTCTGTCTAAATGACGGCACAACAAAAGTGTCTTTCAAATCCAAATAAAATACCAGTACTCAATAACAATTTAAAATGTCCTATAGCTTCCACCTCTACCGATTTGTCATCTCCAACATAAATCCATCTTTCAGAATCAATTGGCTTCCGGTAGTTTAGGCAACCCTTTCTTTTCACGCCAAGCATGATATTTATCACATTTCTTCTTTATGTGTCCAGTCTTATTGCAAAAGAAACATTTGTTTTCTTGAGTTTATTTCTTTTGTTCTGGACCCTTAGCACCTTCTTTCTCGAGATCCTCTGATCTCTTTCTTTTGCCTTTAGCCTTGGAGGTGCTTGCAAAATGAGCACTTTCTATCTTGTCTTGCTTTAGTCTTTTCTCTTCTTGTACGCAATGTGAAATGAGCTCATTAAGAGACCATTTATCCTTCTGACAGTTGTAAGATACCTTAAATTGATTAAACGTTGCAGGAAGAGAAATCAACACCAAATGAATGAGCAAGTTTTCTGAGAGTTCAAGCTTTAGTGCCGTGAGTTTAAAAACAATATTAGACATGCTCATAATGTACTCCCTGATATTTCCTTTTCCTTGATATTTCATGGAGATCAAGTTCTGAAGAAGAGTGTTTGCCTCTGCCTTATCGCTTTTTGCAAAGCGCTGCTCAATTTCAGCAAGAAATTCTTTGGCACTTGTGATGTTTTCAGAAACAGTGCCCCTAAACACCTCCGGGATGCCACGCTTAATGATCATTAGACTCATGCGATTTGAGCGATCCCACTTCTCATAATCTCTTTTTTGTTCAGAGGTACTTGAATCCGTAGGAGTAGGGGTTGCTTCGATCCTTAACGCAAGATCCATATCCATGCAACCAAGAACAATATTAATGTTCTCTTTCCGAGTCCTTAAAATTTGTTCCATTGAGGACCGAAACAAAATTTAAATTGGCGGATACAAAAGCAATTGTAACTCGAATTTAGAACACGAGAAATAAACTAATTATGCTCACATTATATAAAAAATAAATAATATATATTCAAATAGTGGTTTAACCCATCTCAAGACACCCAATGCACCATCAATATTAAGTCTTTGGACAGTAATATTAACTACTAGAGGTATCTTGTTATAATAATCAAACATTGACAATAAAACACGTCCAACAACAAACCAGTCTTTGGATTGATTTATCATCGACAAAGCAAATCCTTATAATTATCACATGTTTATCATTACAAGTGTGTATGCAATTCGGTCAAATATTAATCTTCCTTTGGACCGACTAATACTCGCATGAATATATACAAACACTAACATTCAATATTTTTCATGAACTGCCCAATTCAAGAGAAGTTACTTTGGTGACTTCTTGACTCAATTTGCTCACAAAAAATATTAAACTACCAAAAATTGAATATTTTATTTATATAACAAAACCAAATATTTAATATTTGCAAACTAATTCAAAAGAGAATCACCTCATTAGAATTCTACTAAGGATGAACACCTCCCTAGAATCTCATTAGGGATGAACACCTCATTTGAACAAATCAAAGGATGAAAAAATGTCTCATTTTCCACCAATACATAAAGGATGAACATCTCCCTAAAATCACACTAGGGATGAAACAGAGATAGTTCCGAGTCTCTTTAGCATATCGCTCTAAACCCTAAAAGGGAATTAAACAGTAATCACTCAAACCCTAATTTAACATCAAATTTTCCTTAAATTCCTAGGGGATAGAGGCAATAAAATAATAACAGCCACACATGTGGAAACATTCACCAGTTGCCTAAGATCCTCTATGTTGGGAATTCCCCAAACACCACCCCCAATTCCAAAGCCATAAAATTAAATAAAAACAAAAGATCCAAAAAATAACAGAGAACCCAATACAAGAGAGATTGAAATTTGAAACACTGTTTCTTTCTCAGTAAAACTTGAAACTTAAACCGAAATAAAAGGGAAAACCGAAGAAGAAGAATCCATAGCTTCCTCCACGATTCCATCAGCAAGCAGAATCAGATTGGGGATGTTACCCCCAAATTTAAATTTTAGAGTTCACGAAAATTGAAGATTATTCTCCACTTAGGGTTCATAAAATTGGGTAATTTGAATTGTTTAAAACAAAATTAATCCTAATTTTCATAATTAGGGTTCTATAAATTAAACAGACATAAATCAAATATGGACGACTCTGATACCAATTGTTAGAAAATTAATAATAATAATAATAATCCTGATTTTGATTCTAACTATCAAACATAAACGTAATCCCATATTGATAAATATGTTGTAAACTGAATGCGAAAGCGTACCTGAATTAGTCATAATGATGATGTCTTTGTAGAGCACTATATTGATCTTATGGTCTTCCACCTGAAGAGCACCTGTATTTCCCTCTTGATTTTCTCTCTTGATGGGGATAGAAAGAAAGGAACGAGACTGATACTTACGTTCTGTGTGTGCTCCCAGAAGGGGATAGAAAAAAAGGAACGAGACTGATACTTACTTAGGTTAATTACTTAAGTTTTAGTATTTTCAATTTGGCCCCTCATCAAATTAGAAATTGTTCAATGGTCTCTACACAATTTTATTTTCATGACATATGCCTTTAGCCAAACTTTTTAATTTAGTCAGATCACTTTATTATTTGGCTTAATAAATAATGACCCTAACACATTTAAATTGATATGAATCACAAGGGTTGATTTAGGATCTTTAGGGTTAGAACCTTGTAAGAAATTTAGGAATTAGAAAGAAGGTGGAAGGAAAGAATCACTCTTCCCAAGGAAGGCAACACACAAAGGATGTGAAAGTCCTTTGATACTGCCAAAGGTTCTTGAATCACTCAAGAATTTAGGAGAATCACTCTCACTAAGATAAAAGAGATAAACTCTAATATTTCGAATAAAATTTCACTTGTTATTTCTTGATAAGAATGGTTCAAGCTGATATAGAAGCGTTGCCATCGTAATTACAAAAGACTCAATAAAAGAAAATAAATATTAATAATAACCCATTAATCTAGGAATTGAAAATTATTTAATGGAAACAAATAAAGGCTAATAATGATCCATTAACCTAGGAATTGAAACTACTTAATGACTCGATTGTATCCGAAACCGTGGCAACCAAAAGTCAATCAGCTATGCACCCCTTGGTCTCCCAAAAGTCGATGACTAAATTTTCAATTGGGCCCTTATTACAACTTAAAACAAAATCAAACTAAAGCCCATTAATTGATTAATCCAAAACACAATTTGGTCAACCAACAATACTTGTTGAAGAGCTTCCTTTGTTCCCCTTGCTCTAGCCCTTATCATAGGTTATGTTCACATCAGTATCATATATATATACATGACCCAAATTTTGCCAACACTCAACGGCACGGTGGTCACTTGACCGAGACAAGTAAAATCGTATGTCACCGGTAAAAAAAAATATGAATCTCCGACGAATTCTCCGATAGCGGCTGATCCGGTGACTGCTTCAGCGGCAGCGCTGACAGCAACATGAACCAGTACACCAGGTAAGTTCCCAGGAAAGAGAGATGAGTCACTAATAGACACATTTAAATACCAAGTCTTTCCTTATCAGAACTTTCCTAAATATGCACTTTCACACTACCAAATAAAATTCAGTAACAAAGATAATTCTTTTCTAATGTGGAGGATCAATTTACCAGCAAAGGTGGGACGGCTCCAGCGGTAGAAAAAAACGAACAAAAAAATTCATAATATCTTAACAATATCAAACTATATCTAAATAATACCCAGAATTAACTTTCAATTAAGGAATAGTTTTAGTTTAACTAAAAAAAACAAAAAATGTGAAAGCGCGCTGCTTTATCAAATAAAATTGAAAAGAAAACGAAAAGCAAAGTTGTAGTCTGAAAGCTTCTTGAGCTTTGAAAGCCAACTACTGACACTTGTGTCGCTGAAAAGAAATATCTTTTTTTTGTTTTTGTTTATCAGGTTTTCAGGAAAGCATAGTCAAATAGAGTTGAACATTTTGAAAAAGTTGATTTTAATTGGTTTGTCCCATCGTGATGATGATGATATCAGCAAATAGGTTTTGCGATTTTAGAGGACTCCCCTAACGCTTAGTTGCAGGATAAAATATAATTACCTCGGTAATGCCACGAACTATACAATTCTGTTTTATTTTCTTATTCATTCAATGAGAATAATGTTGGAATTAATTAATTTTAGGACGATAAAGACCTCAAATCAAATCCAACTTTACAATGTACAACAGACAAGTCAGTATCGAATATTAATAAAGTGCGTTTAGAAATTAAATTCGATTCCAATTGCCCAATCCAAACAAAACCACTTTAATTTGATACCCAAAATTTTTAAGATTAAAGCAAAAAGTAGCCCTAATGATAATGTCAAATCTGAACATTGATAGGGTTGGTGCTTCATTCATTATCATCATTGTTCCTATTTACACTACCTTTCAAATACCCATTAATATCCAATTTTGATTTCGCTTCTCTCTCTTTCAACATTATAAAAAAATTCATTATTGAACGTTGATAAGAGAGACTGTTGTACACTTGACAGACATGTATTCATATTTTTCAAGCTTTTGTACAAAAATCCCATGTATGGGGAAGGGGTACGATGATGTCTTCACAGTAACCAAGACCAACCATGCAGTGAAACACCCAGGTTCCTGCTCCTGCAACCTCTCAAAGCAGTACATTGGTTCTGTGTCAAAAATCGACCAAATTTGTTCTTCTCCTGTGATGGAGGAGGAGCCGAAAAGGTTGGATGTTTTGCCTGAATTATCAGAGGAATATTCCAAGGAATTGGAGGTGGCTGTTAGAGCAGTGCAGATGGCGTGTTCCCTCTGCCAGAGAGTGCAGGACACTATAATTTCCAACACTGGGTCTGGGACCAATCATCGCCAGGTGCAGTCCAAGGATGATAATTCTCCGGTTACAGTAGCAGGTGAATGTTGTTTACTCAATTGGTTACTTTGGTAAAGCTTTTGCTTCTGATACCTCTTTGTTTTTGCTCTCAATTCATTGTTGGAGGGGCTGGTTTTAAGAATGTCTGTTTTCCCAAAACAAGATGTATTCCTAGCAAAATTGCTTTAACTCATTTTGCCACGTGGCTTGTGCATTGGATACTATGTTATCCTGCACCAATGTTGAGGTAATTATGTTTGTTTTAGCAATTACTACTACTTCTAGGGTTATCATACAAATTAATAAGCATTTAATAAGTGTAAATGTTAATGTATTTAGTCTTAAATATACTTATTTAGTATAAGTTGTAAATGTGATTTTTCATCATTGAAATATTAATTAATGAAATTTTAAAATCATCAATAGTTTTGAATTAGAAAAATGAAAAAGAGAGACTAAAACATTAGTAGTTTTAGAAAGTAGCAGCATACTAGCAGGCAGGTAAATGTTTCGTCAAAGTATATGTTTGAAATGTAGTTTGTCTGTTGAATTACTAATTTGTGAGGAGACTTCACATTATAGCCTTTGCGGCTTTGCCTAAGTTGTGTGCATATCCATTCAAATTATGACAAGTGGTTTGTTATTTGGTTCTTGAAGGCCAAAAGGGAGGCACGCAAACCTTGTCTCAGTTTTCTGATACATGAGTACATAACCAAATCAATACTTATTTTCTAAACTAGTTTTAAATCAAGAAAAAGCCATTTGAGTGGAAAGTGACATTTGAATTTGGAGGCTTCACGGATTTTCAAAGATTCACGTTTCTAATACAGGGAAATAGTATGGTTGGTGAAACAAGGTGCCTTTCAAACTATAAAATATAATATTGCTAACAAAAGGTATAAGATTGGATAGAACCTCTGTAGTACTCTTTATATTATAAAGTGTATTCCAATAAGGAGACAAGGGCCATGGAATAAGGTCAAGGAGAACTTTGTGAAGTCCATATATTGGCTTTATCAGCTGGTTGATCTTCCATAGGCTTATCGTTTCCAGGAGATACAAAACTACCTCAATTACCTTTTACAATCACAATATTCTCCATATGGGATGTAATTTCCAGGAAGAATGGCTTATGATTCACTTTTTATTTATTTTCTGCAATATTTAAATGGTGACTTCAGTAACCTGATCTTGTTCTACAAGCAAACCACTTTCTGACTAAACTGCATTGTACACCTGATACTTATCAACGTATAATTTTTCCTCAGTTTTGGTTGAATCAGTTCAGATTCATGGGATATATACTTTTTCTTAATTAATACAAAAGAGGAGGATATAATAGTTTCAAGTTTTTAACACAAAAAGACCTCTATAATCCCTTTAGATGTCTATCAAGAAGATTCTTGGAAAGCCCATAAACGAGGCTGTAGGTCCTTGCTCTAATAAACACCTTGTTTGGTTACCTTTTAAAGTGTTCTTATAAACACTTTGGAGGGAGCATTCTGCTTTAGAAAGAATGCAAGTTTTCGACTGATAATATTGTTCTCTGTTGGAAAAATTGAGACAAGTTTTCCAATTACTGGTTAGACCTTTCTCTGTGTTCATTTAACATTTTCAACTTCAGATGCTGCCAATAGCATTGATTTGAATTAAGTGCACTCCAAATTGAAAATTTTATTTAATTAATCACGGATTCATTATTTTCATAGTAAAGTTCATCACATCCCATGTTCTCTCATTCCTCTTTGTAAAGATCCAATGTATGTCTAATCGTGAGTTACAATGACTAAAGTAATATCTATATCAATTCATGTTGTGTCCCTCATTATATTTCTTTGTAACTTCTGTTTAATGATCGTTGAAGCTTATTTTGATGAGTTTTTTTTTTTTTTTTTAATATTACTTTTCATGTTTGATTGATACATTCAAACCTAGAATCATGTTTCAATTGTGCCCTTCATTTTGATATTTAAACAGATTGGAGTGTTCAAGCAATTGTCAGCTGGATGTTGTCAGAATGTTTAGGAAGTCAAAATGTCTCAATTGTTGCTGAAGAAGATGTTCAAAATCTCTCCAAGGTTAATGCATCTGAATTGTTAGAAGATGTGGTTGAAACTGTGAATCAATGTCTAGCTGAAGCTCCTCGATTTGGTGTTCAGAAGCCAAAATCAGCTCTTTCAACTTCAGATGTTCTTGAAATCATTGGTCGCTGTAACTCAACTGGGGGTCCCACTGGAAGATTTTGGGTACTGGATCCTGTTGATGGTACATTAGGGTTTGTACGTGGAGATCAATATGCTGTAGCTCTAGCACTCGTAGAGGATGGAGAAGTGAAGCTTGGTGTTATTGGATGTCCTAACTACCCAATGAGGAAGGAATGGTTAAGTTACCATCACCGCTATCATAGGATTATATCCAAGTTGACTCCTCCAACTGCTGAAACTTGGAACAAAGGTTGTGTACTATATGCTAAAACGGGTAGTGGTAAGGCTTGGATGCAACCGCTGCTCCATGCCAATAAGATGTTTGTGTGGCCAAACCAAGCAAAACAAGTTTCTGTCTCTTCCATTGACAATCCTGCACTTGCCACCTTTTGTGAACCAGTTGAGAAGGCCAATTCAAGCCATTCTTTTACTGCAGGACTGGCTCACAGTGTTGGTCTCAGGTGCATTCCTTTTTTCATTCCATCTCCGTATCATTTACCTCTTTCCTCTCCTATTTACTCTCTCTTGATATACCATAATAGATTTACAGAAAGAATGCATTGATTAGCTAAGAAAGAATTGTTACAAGAATACAGAAAAATAACAGAAAAACTGTTTATTATTATTGTTATTAATATTATTATATAGACTTATTAGCATGGTACTATTCTATCTTCTTTTGTTATTTTTCAAGTATCCTTACCAAATCAGTGCTAGATCTTTATTAAAATTTAAGATTCTTGAGATAATTCCAATCGTCCTGTTATTGTGGGCTTATTAAATTTGATGGAAAACAGAAGTTGTGATATATGTAGTGTAGTTGCATATTCATTACTTAAAGAACTAGTTACATTAACAATTATCTCGATGAAAATGATGAAACATTAAAATATCTTCAGGAAGAAGGAACAGAGATAACATAGTTCTAGCTTAAAAGATATCTCTTTTCTACCATATGTGCAGGAAACAGCCGTTGAGGGTATACAGCATGGTAAAGTATGCAGCAATAGCTCGTGGGGATGCCGAGGTTTTCATGAAGTTTGCAAGGGCTGGTTACAAGGAGAAAATATGGGATCATGCTGCAGGTGTTACCATCATACAGGAAGCTGGTGGGATGGTAACAGATGCAGGAGGAGTTCCCCTAGACTTCTCAAAAGGCTTATATTTAGAAGGCCTTGATCGTGGCATAGTTGCTTGTTCTGGAGCTACACTACATGCAAAGATCATCGATGCAGTTGATGCTAGCTGGGGCTCTTCTGGCCTTTGAGGCTGCTATGTATACACGGAAAATAATGTTAATAACGATTCATCTTTTCTTTTTCTGTTTAACATTGAATCTTAGAAATTCCCCTGCTTTACCATCAGTTAGTTTTTATGTACTGATAACAACATACGAACTTGTTAGCTTACAATTCTATTGTTGGCATTGTAATAACACGAAATTGTCATAATTTCTCATCATACTGAATGCCATTTACTGAAAATGATTCTTCTTGAGAGGGATTCATGGACTTATATACTGTTGAAACTGTATACAATCATTTACCTTCTCGATAGCATCCAGCTTTTGGCCAAACTGCTAACCCTGTGTACTCTTTTTTGCTTAACTTGTCACAAACATTGGACATTTATACGAATCAGACAGAAAATAAATTTAGGAGTTGACTTACTTATCTTCATGGTTTAGGTCATTTGGTTCCCGAGCAAGAGTGCAAGTGCACATGAACACATTAAATTTGTCTACTTGGTGATTCAATTCATTTTGAATACATATATTTGGAACTGCCAGCTTGGCAATTCTATCAAAGGAATTCACCGAATGATAACTTGGTCACCAGAAATAGCATAATATGGTTAATTTCATTCTCTCTTCGTATGCACACATTTCATATAAATGTGAATTGAAGTGCTCTGCTATGAATTTGATATCGTGGTTGTTTGGATATATGTTTGTAAAATTCATTTTGAATCGACGTGGGTTTATAGAATTGATTCTAAATAAATGTGATTTCTGTTTAGATAGTAAATATTAGAAAATTGTTTTCAACACATAAAGCTGTTTGAAAACTTGCAATAAAAAAATATTTTCAATATGTAATTACCAAAATTTGCGTCTGATTTAAGATATGCATAAAACAAATAACATTGCACATGTTACTAATAACCTAAATAAAATTTTGAGTCCAAAACCTGATCAGTTAAAAAGTAAAGTTTAATCTATCCTAGACTCGAGCTGAATCATTCAAAAGTTTATCCAAACACACCTTATACTGAATTAATTTATTGGTCGTGGTGACAGATAGGCTGCAGAGGAAACGCGTAGTGATCACATCGAGATGTTTGTAAGATGAACACGTGTAGTTAATGAGGCTGCAAGTGCAACCCAGTTTTTGAAGACTTTTTCTTCTGCACATATTGGTTCAAAAAGTCAGAAACTTCATTTATTGCATTGAATTTGATTATGGTACTACAATTTTGACTTGTTTATAACTTACCTGAGGAAATCAGCCTTGTCTTAATCAGTAAATACACTTTGACAAATGAACATATTGTTACTAGAATTGAAGTGTGCAAAAATATAGAATTAAGTATAATTTTAAAGAAAGCAAATTCTTGTTTCTTTTAAAATTTGAAGTTGAAAAAATGCATAGAGAGGAAGAAGGTTTGATGGGTACAAGCATATCCAAAATTTAAAAGTCATAAAAAAAATCTTTGATAGGCCCGACCTTGTTGAATATGGCACCCACAATCTTCAACTTGTAAATAGAAATATTGCAAGTTTTTTCAATAATCACACCGTATATTGTGGGCAAGTGTTTGGCTCCGTCATGCACCACTGATTTTGCTTCTCTTCTTTGTGGCTTTTGCATGACACCTATTGTAGAAAAAGTGATTGTTATATTTCTACTTCATAATTAATTGTTTTTTGAATATAGGGACCGATCAAACTCAAACTTTAGTCAGCATGTTAATTAATAAAAACATCGTTAGTGTAAAAGTTGATCAAAATTTTCTTAATTTTACTTTTAAAGTAAAATGGTGATTTTTATTACAAGTATAACACTGCAAATGGATTATAAAGTACGTGGATACCAACTCGTCCCATAACTCGATGTCTTCTAAAGGATGGACCGAAAACAATCATAGTTTGCAACTATCAAATTCAAGAATCAAACTTGTACTTCTGTGATGGGTAGAATGAAAGGGAAACTCACTTGAAAACCCTTTAAAAAATGTGTAGTTTATGCTTATGAACTTTCTTCCGTGTCTGGCCACCGGGGTCACACCGAAGCATAATGAGAAAGAAATGCGAAATTGGATATAAAAATCACTTCCAATTGATTTTTGATGTTGAAACTTTTTCAATAATTTTTTCACTTTTAATACACTAGTTTTGACCACTCATATTCATACACTCGTTCAAACATGCATTTATTCTTTTAAAATAATTAATTTGGTTTTTAAATTATACAAAAGTTTTAATTTAGTCTAAAATTTAAACAAAGTTTCTAAAAATAAATTTTATCACTTATAATTATTTTTATTTAATAGATCTTATATATTATGGTTAAATTAAAATATAATTTAATATATATATATATATATATATAAAGAAAAAAATATATTTTTATCATAATATTGAGATATTTCTATAAAAAAAAAACGAAGGTAATTTTTTTTTATTATTATTTATTTATTTATTTACCAATATTCAAAGACTAACTAAAAACATTATATGTTTTAAACTGTTAACAATACTATTTAACTTATTTTATTTCATACACCCTGCCCATTTACTAATTTAAGGTGGTTAAAATAATTTAAGTCGCAAAAACATCCTCATTAAATTTTAATACAATTACATTCTTTGAAAATATGATAACCTGTGTGTATAAAGTTGAGAAAAATAACAACATTATATAATACATTTTAAAAGAGATAACGAAGATAGTATTTTCATCTAGGACGGAGGCAAGAGGGGAGGGGTCGATATTATGGTCCCAAATTTTTTTATTTTTTATTTTATTTTATTAAAAATAATATTATAATACATATAATAATATATATATCCGATGTCATGAATCACTTAAATACCATACAAATTTTGTATATTAATTACTATTTAATGTATATTATATTTCAATTAGAGATTAGTCTTATTTAATTTTATTTTTAATATGATTTAATATATTAAGTAAATAGTTAGATAAGTAAAGAGCAATAAAAATAAATGTGTGAAGAAATTAAATAATAAAAAAATAAATCTAACTTGTTACTAATTATAGGACAACAATGAATAGAAAAAATTAATAAAAATAATAATTTAAATAATAAAGAATTTTATTGAAAATATTTATTTTTTGTTCGTAAAGTTTTTTATAACGTATATTTTTTCTTATAATTTGACAATTATTTTAATTATATTTATTTTATTTATATTTTTTTATCATCCTAATTATATTTATTCTATTCTATTTATATTTTCTATATGAAATCGTCTAGATGACGTAAATAAATAAATTTTTTGATGATTTTTATAATTGTTTTTTTATCTACTTTATTGATATGTATCATTTGTAATTACGTATATCTAATATAGTCTCTTTTCGATATTTTATTTTTCCAATGCATTGCATTCCTTATCTTTAATGTTTCTTAATATTTAAGTCTTTTATTCTCGATGTGTGATATTTTCACATTTTCATTATTTCTCAATTCCATTTTTCAATAATACTTCTTTGTTTAGCATTTCGTAAGTCTCCTCTGTTTATTTCTTTCAATCTACATGAGAACATGTAAAAATACAAAGGGATATTCTTTTTAAGTTTAGTGAGAGTGATATTGGGTTCAAGTCTTAAGTTGGAAACGAGGTTAGATTTAAAGCTAGAGTTTGGGTTGCATTAAAAAAAAGTGTTTTATACTCAGAATGTATTTTAATTTCATGTATAATTTTATTTTCTGAAGCTTTCTTTAAGCTTTTGTTAAAAACAGTAGTCTGTTTAAATTTTAACTATTTTATTTTTTTAAAGTCACGATGTCCTAAATAGCAGTGAAAATATATATATTACATCAAAAAGAAACGCTAACCATAAAATATTATAAATTTAGTTCTTTTAAATATACTTTTTTATGATTATTATTATTATTAATTTAAAAGGACATGAGAGTAAATGTATGTGTGTTGAATACGTTGCATGCTTGGAAGAGGGAAGCAATATGAAAGTTTGACGTTGTTAAGCAGAAGATGTATATGTGTCAACGACATAGGATGCATGCATAAGCTTACTTATCAAGATCATTGGATTATTATGGTCCAAACTAAACCATCATGTATTCTATCTATGTATGTGTCATAACACCATTAATTAAAATATCGGTGACCATGTACTTTCTTTTTCAACGGTCGGTCACATTATTTATTTTTTATTATAAAAATATTACTCCCTCTACTCTACCATAATTAAATAGTTACTAAATAAAAAATAAAAAAAATACTTTCACTTTAAAATAGGTCACATGCTCGAGTGTATTATTTATATTTATATTTTTGAATTTTATAAGAAAATATAAAAAATACATTTGTTTTAAAAAATAATACCTTGTATTACGTTTGCATATTAGAAGTTAGGTTTCATTTATTGCACGAGAAGATGATGTTTTTCCTCTTCTTTAATCACATATACTAGATAACCATCACATTGATTACATAATTTGACATTACATTAAATTTCTCAAACGAACATACATTACACATCTACCAAATGCTGTTTACACTTCTCAATGTGAGTATTTGTTTTGGAAAAAATATTTGTTGTTGGTACTTTTATTTATAAGTATTTGCATCAAAGCCTCAGTTTCACTTGTTCGTGCCAAGTGGAGGGGTGTAGTGAAATTTACTGGAAGTTGAAACCAGATTTTGTCATTACTTTGAGTACGGAAATTAGGTAAATGAGAAAGGATATAATATGAAGTGAGAAATAACGTTGAAGAATTATTATTATTATTATTATTATTATTATTATTCTTTTATAGAAGTGAGAACTTATAAACCCAACGAAGTTGTTAAATTCAAATTTTGTTAGTTTACAATTTACATCTATACACTAAACCCATCCATTTATAAAATATTTAAATTTATATTTATTATTAACTGGTCTGACTTAATATAAATTAGTTTACGAATTAAATAAGAAAAATTAATAACATAATTTAATTTATATTTTAAAATAAATCATAATTTTTTTCCTAATATGATTTATGTTAGACTAATTATTTAAATTAAAAATTTTATTAATGTCTCTTTACCGAAATAATTAATTAAAATGTTTGAATAAAAATTAACAAATTATTTTTAAAATTTTAATTATATTAATAAAATTAATTTTTATTTTAAATATAATCATTTAAAATATATATTATAAAAAAATATTCATTTAACCTCAAAATAAAAATTTAAAAATTATTTGTATTATCATAATTTATTTTTTAATAATTTAAAATAATAATTCATCTTATTCATAAAAACATGAAATAAGTGATATTAATAAGAGCAGAGGCTGTAGCAGTGACCACTCAAAACAAATAATTTTTTTTTTAATGTAATGTGACCCCTATTTTTTTAATCCGTTGAACCTTATCATCTTCTGTTAGGTTAATATTATTAAAATAATTATTTTCTTTTAATATTTATATCTTGTCCCCTTCAAAAACTCTCTAACTCCAGCCCTGAATATTAAATACTTAATCTTAAATCAATTTCTTATTAAATTAATTTATAATACATATATAATTTTTAATAAAATAATATTATTTTATTTAAAAAATTATTATTATTTTATATAATTTAAATATTAATTTGATTTAAATTTTATAAATTATAATCTAAATAAATCAAATATAATTCAATTTAGATTATAAATATATATTTTTTCTTATCTTCAAGTCTTTCGAATAGGTTCTTACAAATATATTAATTTTTTGTTAACTTCAAGTCTTTTGGATAGATCCTTCCATATATATACAGATTCATTTTGGAGGTTGAAACAGAAAAGTGATACTTACCGATATGTAGATATATATTTATTCATTTGGGATGTTGGAACACAAAACGAAATTAAAGAAGCAGTCGAATACAAAGAATAAGCCTCTGATTGCAGTTGCAATGTCCACAGTTTTGATGGGATTGTCTGGAGCTTCAATGAAGTAATTAATGGATAATTACAGAAAATTTACGTATCATGCATGCATATCATAGTCTACAAGTCTCATCCTAAAATAACCTTGCCACTTGGTACATGTCAAAATACTCAAAGGCAGTTTTGTTCAACCTTAAACAATTTTGAGGGAAAAAACAAAAAGCTTAGAACAACTTTTGCAATATATAGTGCTCAACCATTACTTTTGTGGTGAAGTAACGTACTTAACTTCCCTTGTCCATATTTTCAGTGTCTGCAAATGAAAATCAACAACAGATATGTGTTAAGATTATAACTAGATTTTAGACATTCTTATGCATGTATAGTTTTGTTAAATATTACCCTTTTTAACTTTAGAGTAATCCTAAAAGTTGTAGCAGCTATATAAACCATAAATTCTGCAAGGTCTTCAAACGAATCATAAGTTTGACTGATAAGGAATTTGAAGTTTTTTAGCTGTACACTTCTTAAAAGGCTAAAAACAGTGTAACCTGAAAAATATCCCATTCTTAAAAGAAAAGAAATTATAATTAAAAAAACAGTGAACGAAATAGACTAGTGAGATTGTATTTAAAAGTTTGGTATATTTGATGTGATCATAAGATAGTTGATGCATTGTGATGGAGAAATGGGGCGAATTGATTTCTTAGTCTCACATGGTAGCTTGTGTGATTAGGGTTAACAGTATCATTGGCATAACATAAAAATAATAGTAGTTAGAATTGTTGATTAAAGTGGAAAGAGAGAGTGGGAAGTAAATATAATAAATGCAGCCAACCTACTGGAACATCATAAATCACCCCATCTGTCCTCCACACCCTCCCAATTAATGCTTTTTCCTTCCACTCACACATTTATATATTCCTTCCCATCTCTCAACTCTCTCATCATAACACACACGTATCCTACAAACTCCACTTCCAACAAAAATCTCATTTCTTTTCATCCCCAAAACAAAAATAACACACACACAAAATGAACCCTACAATCACCTTTCTCTTCTTCTTCACCCTACTTCTCATAGCTTCACCCTCCTCCGCAACCCGACCCGCGTCAAACCCTGATCAAGTGAACCACTCCAAAGACGACAACAACAACAACCAAGCTGCTGGTGCTGGTGCTGCTCCTGTTACTGGTGCTAGTCCTGGTTCTGGTTCTAGTCCTGGTGCTGGTGCAGGTGGGTTCTTTGGCCCTGGTGGAGGCTTCACCATACCCGGATTCGGAAACGGGTTTGGGAATGGCATCATAGGAGGAGGGTACGGATCCGGGTATGGCGGTCCGAATGGAGGGTCTACTAAAGGTGGCATCATAAGACCGACCGTTGTGTGCAAAGAGAGAGGTCCTTGTTACCAGAAGAAGGTCACATGTCCCGCCAGGTGCTTTTCCTCCTTCAGCCGCTCCGGCAAGGGCTATGGCGGCGGTGGCGGTGGCGGTGGCTGCACCATTGACTGCAAAAAGAAGTGCACCGCTTATTGCTAAGCGAATTTATTAATCACCATAATAGGTAACACTTATTATCACTTGTACTACTATATTATCATAATATATGCCATTAAACTTAGAGTTTAATGGTCACATATAACTGGTGAACAACACTTTTACATGGCTCATCAATCATAAATCATCCTTTAATATAAATTATAAAATAATTTCCATAAAAACTATAGATTTGTGATTGGTCGATCATGTGAAATTGTTTTACACCGATAGTTATCTATTTGGTGATCTTGATCATCTTTTAGATACATCTCTCTATCTAGGAGAGTTACTTTTAGGTGTGGTAGTTGCTTTTTGATTACTATGTGATGAAAAATATATTATGAGACACTGTTTGTTTGGTGATGAGATTACGAGACGAGTGATAGTTATTGACTGTAATTTTTGCTTATTATATATTATATGAAAGCAGTCTTATTATTAATTAGCTTCTGTTTTCCATTTTAAGAATTGATGTGAAGTTGCCTCTGAACTTAATTTGACATTTTCATTTCAATTAAGTCCACATTGAAAATGCAGATTTTGCCTATGAAATTTGAATTATGGGATGTGATGAGAGACTAAGATTAGGCCATGGATGTGATGTGATTCTTCAGTTTCAAATCCCAGATCTCATCCATAGCTTGTCCTTGTCAAAAATATACACGCCCTTAAATGTAGAAAATGTTTAATATTTTTCTTTCAATAATAATTAAGATAATTTAATGAGAAATCCGAATAAAGAATATCCAAACGACAAATGGAAAAAAACGTTGTTTTTCTCCTGCATAAGTGAATGACATGAATCTGAATCTAGTCCAACCAGATAGGTGAATCGATGTTAATGATAACAAATATTATTTATTTTTCTCACCAGTTTGTAGTTATATTGGAAAAGTGGTTGGTACACGTACAAATCTTTATGGAACATTCATACTGCAATTTGAGAAAAAGAAGGGTCCCCTTTCTAATAAGTTTAAATATCAATTGAAGTTAACATGGAGAGTGGAGTGTTTTTTTTTTATTAATAAATTATTATGCTGCACATATTTGTCTGAGATGATATAATCTCCAATCTTCCAGATGGAATTCACTTCAGAAATGAATTGTCTTCCTCTTTTCACGCCCCAAGCTTCTTTTTTTTCTTAAATATGTGTAATTTTGTATTCGGCAACCCTTCTTGTTAATTTCATTTGTTCCTTCTTTACTTTGTTCTGATATATGCATTTGTGATGGAATTCGTGTTAAAGAGTTATAAATATAAATATTGAATATAAGTTGATTAAGATTCTCATACACTAATATAAGTATTAATTTTTATTATTTTTAATGAATTTATTACTTTTTTTATTAAGATTTTTATCATTTGATATTTTTGTTTTCATTGAAAATTATTTTTAATAATTAAAAATAAAAATATAACTGGTAAAAAATAATTAATGTAATTTTAAATTTTACATTTTATATATATATATATATATATATATATATATATAAAATAAAATTTTCTAAATAATTTATTATACATCAAATGCTGAGATGTTCTCATAAAATTTCGTCATAATATTGGATTAAAAAATGGAAATATTTATGAAAAATATAATTACATTTAATAATTTTTTGATTTAATAGTTTAGAGGCTTATTAAGAAAAAAAATACAGCGAAATTTAGAACTATTCAATTTTATATCAGTGTATCTGAATCTCTTCATGGGTCAGATCATATTGCTAAGAACAAATTATTAAATAGTTTGAAAATGTACTATTTTTTTGTTAAACCATGTTATTTCTATCCATTCAAACGTTATCTAGAAACTGAGTGTTTGTATACGAGGTACAATTTCTATATTGAATCTAATGGTTGAATCTAAACATGCAAGATTCACAAAAGTCGTAAGTTTTTGTCTCTGTGACGAGGATACATTTTTTTTATGCATACAAACATGCCAATAATTCGATTATGCCTCTTTCAATTCAAATTCGTATATTACCTCTCACCCACAACCACAACTGTTTTTACTTTATATTTTATCAGTATATAATTGAGTGAAAAAAATATGGTTTGTGATCCAACACGTTTGAAGAAGAAAAAACCTTAAGGATAAATTAAGCACAAGGAAACATTTTTGCAGGATTCCTTTATCATTTAATTTTAAATGGGTCAAAACTATAGATTTGAATTTTTGTTCCAAAATTATAAACCGTGTATCTTTCTCGTTTTTATATTTCAAACTATTTATCAACAAAATAATTTTTCTTAAAGATTTTTTAAATTTATGTCTCTATATCTAACATAGACATGATCTGATAATACAATAAATACTTGTTATTTCAGCCAGTCGTAATCATACAACTATGCGGTCGGTCCGTGAGATGCTAGGAATTGTTCCACAAAAAGTAAGCACAATTAATAATAACCCACCAATGTTACAAATAATGAAATGAATAGCAATCAAGAATGACACATTTCACTGTCAACAAAAACTCCTATGCTCTATCAAAGCAAACATGTTGTTGGCTTTTCATGTTGCTTCAGTTTCAGCCGCTACTTTTCAAGCTTTTGAAACCAATATCCTCTACAAATTATAAATAACAACCTTTAAATTCATGCAAATTTTTTAAGAATAATGTGTTGGCTGTCTCAGGTAATTGCATTACAATGTTTTTCATTAGAAGAACTGTGTCAATCCAACAAAAGAAAAAGGGAAAAGACCACGTTGATAAAGAGAAATAAGCATCATAATGCAGTATATCATAAGGCATTTGTCTCATTACTTTTGTATGTCCCATGACTCATTAGAGTTAGTTCTATGGATAAATAAAAGTCTAGTAGCTTCACTTATCTTACCTTTCACCTTTCGTATCTAGTTTTAGATGTCAACGTTTGTGAATAAGGTGAACAGGCTACATTAATCGTCATGTGTATGCTTATGACTCAATAAAAGTAATAGAAACTAGTTCCTCGTCAAGAATGGGCAAAAAAGGAAAAAATGGATTGACAGACACAACACAACTAGCTCTACGAAAAAGACTGAACCAAAACTACATAGAGAATCGACTCAATAAATTGTAGCACTTTTCTGTCTATGCTTTTTTCATATAATATACATCAACAAATACAGTAATTAACAAGCCACATGAACAGGTAGCATGTTTTAGACAAGACCAAAAAAAAAAAAAACTCAGTAAAATACTTTTTATCCGCAATATCTGTGGCTAATAATTTACAACAGCAATTCAAACTTCAAAAACTACCTTCATAAGGAAATTCATCATATTGCAGCCCTTATTGCACCTCTTGCAGCCTCCCGCTTTACCTCAGCAGCCTTACCACTGCCACGGAAGTACATGTATACTTGCTGTATGCAACAAAATAAAACAAAAATGAATATGTTCAGTCCAAGTGCTAAGCGCATCCCACTTCCAGAAATAATTGAGAAGTATATTCGAACCTGAATAACCCAGATGCTGATCAATGTTTCAATGCAGAACAATCCAAATCCAACAAAGTACAAAATCTACAGGTAAATGCAAAGAAAAAAACAATGTAATTTACCAATCGATTAGAAGCTGGGACTTTTATTGGTCAAGGTTTTGCTTAAAAGTGTAACATAGCTGTGGGAAATGACAATTAAACAGCATGCGAGAATAACAAATACTTCAATACAGGCGTACTTACTCCAATCACTGGATGGTTACCCACCACATCTATGGCTGCCAGAATGCCTCTGTATCAAAATGAGTACACAGCAGCGACAATTAGGCAAAAAAAAAAATGACAATAACACCAGCTTATAGATAGTACTTACAATAAATATCCCAAAATTATCATCCTCAAGAACAAGGATACCAGTTTGACTTTCCTGGTCATTCTAGGACTACTTATACATCAGCTCTGGTAATGTAGTACAGTAATTATGCACATATATACTTTCTTCACTTTTATTTTAGAAAAATAGTTAACAACAAAGTCCTTTTCCAAGAAAGTGCGGTTGGCTACAAGGATCAAACAAGACCATTGTATTATGCCAAAGAGTAAGTTTTTCAAAAGGCCATTAAAATTCTGAATCTTCATATTACTGTGCAAGGGTGGAGGGGAGGGACAGATGGGGACCACGTCCCACCCCCACCCCAAAAAAAGAATTAATTTCTTTATGATTTTATTAAAAATATATTATGGTCCCCTAAAAAAATATTTGTATGTAGTCCTAAGACTAATTTTCTGGTTCTGCCTCTGTTCATATATGTAAACAATAAGGAAAAAGCAATGAAATGTATATATACAAAGTTAACATACGTCAAGGATTTTCCTTTGAAAACTATGGGAGGAGCAACTGCAGCTAAGATACAGAATCCTAGGTGAAGCTGCAGGCACAAAGAGAAATGATAATAATTAAATTTCATTTGAAATGTGAAGCAAAACTTAAGTGCACATAACAGAAAAACAGTCAATTTACCAGGTAAAACAAGAAAAACCATCCAAAGTTCAAAGCACTATCGGTCCTGCAAGAATAACAACGGAACATATTCAAAATCAAGAGTGTAACCAAAGTAGAATGATCAAAATATGCAAGTACGTGTTGTTAGATTGGACAGGATTGAACCAGGAGGAGGGGGATTACCCAGCTGAGTGAACTATTAGGCCATGGACCGAGTGGTATAATATACATTAGTATTTATATGTTATTAGTTTACTGTTTCATGACGGTTTCATGCAATGTTACTTCTAGGGACAGGACATCTCATCAAGGTCTCTTGATGGTGGATACGAAAAAATGCAATAGTATCATATTTTCAACAAAAAAGTTTGGACAAAAAAGTAAATGGATGGCTAAAGACACTACAAGCAGATAATTGAACATCTACTTTTGAAAGTCAATGAAACATTGATAGAAAGAAAACAAAATGACTATGGAGTGGAAGACAAGACACCATCCCCAAGAAAAAAGAGAATAATGTCATAGCAGAAATATTTAAGTACTAAAGCTAAACAGTTTCATTGGATCCCCCATTAGTGGAAACCCCCATCAAATATGCCATACAGAAAAATAGATGGTTTAAGCGAGTATTCTGATCAAGTGACCATTATTAAACCATAAATGTAGCACATATCTACAGAGGATCTTATTCTCCTCTCTTGAAGCACAGTGACAGAATTGACATTTAAAGTATGAGCACACCCTCAAACTACCTAAACTCCAGAGGTTTTATAATTCTGAGATATCTGAATCTAGTGAACAACAGATCTCTTCATTTGCCCGGATATCCCACTCACTTTTTTAACAAAAATATAAAAAAGCTATGACTTGGTGAATAAAACCATCTTTTCTGCAGAATAATGTAACAGAACAATGTGGTTGACCTTGAAAGAATTCTACAACAATAACAAACCTTCTCCTATTGGTTTCAACAAAAATTAAAAAAGAATTAGTCATTTAATTATCAAAACTAAAGTTACTATCAATATGAATTAGTAATTTTTGTCTTAATCTCAATGTTGCTCTTTTAAAACACCATAATGCCCCAGTTTGTCAAGAATTTACTTTTATCTTACACAAGTGAAGCGATATAAATGGGAATGTTTGCCATTATATATTAGTTAGCAAAAATTAAACAGCCAAATGCCTATAAGTATGGAAAATTATTACCTAAAAGCACGGTATAATGGGCGATACCACAGGACATATGCTCCAGGAATTCCAGCTATGAAGTAGATAATAGCAAGAAACCATATTTTCACACCTACAAAGAAGGACAAGTTCCATATGCATTGAATTTGTTGACATCAGATTTGGATTTTGAGCCATTCAACAACCCAGAAAAATTCTTGCTTCATATCTAAACTGACCTTCTCCCTTGATCCAAGCTGCAGTGACAGCTATAATATTCCATGTGAGGCACAATGCCAATCCTGCATGATATCATTTTTCATACATATTATTACCATAATCAAATGAAAACGGCTTCTTCACCAAGCCAAGAAGAAGTCAACAGAAAATGCAATCAATATGTGATTGACTTAATAAAAATGGTTAGTGCCAACCAGCTAGGTCAATGGTTTAAATCATTTAGACAAAACCAGTTCCGCAATATCTAAACTCTATTTTCATACATTTCACTGCCTATCAACTCTTCAGTTTTCTCACAGGCCTTCCATTTATATTTTTTATGAGGATAGAACAAAAGTATTAATAAAAAAAGTATTTAAGTTCAGAGCATGTAAAAAATGATTCTGTATTGAATTTGAGAAAATGGATGATATAGATGCCTATCTCTGGTACTGTCAGTATGTCTAGATCAAACAACAACTCCAACTATGTCAGCTGGAGTATAACTCTAACAGAAAAACAGCTATGTTTACGAGAAATAGTGTTCTCTCACAAAAAAAGATTTTTCCTTGGCTAATTACTAGAACAGGATGTAAAGTTAGAGCCAATTAAAATGATAATGTAGTATGCAAGTATCAAACTGTTGGGTCTTTCGAGGGAAAATTCACAGGAGAGAAACATACCAATATAGGACTGATACATCCCCTCGAAGACTTTCGATACAAAGACTATTCTAACCCACTACCTATCAACCTTCAGCTCTGAAGCCACTTGTTGAGTCTTTCGAGGGAAAAATTCACAGGAGAGAGACACACCAATAAGACATGAGTTCAACCTACATAAGGATTGACACCACTCTCAACCAAAACCTTTAGGTATTGGATTATGGGTCATACTTCCTTATATGTTGCTCAACTTTATCATTCTTACTCAATATGGGACTTAACTCGCACTTGGATTCCCAACACAAACTTTATAACATGACACCTTTGATAACTTTTTACAAAAAAATAAAAATAGAAATAAATAACTATATCATTCCAACCATTAGGTTTAAAGTACTCATAAAGTAAATCAAGTCTACAAAATTTAACACAATTTCAGTTTTAATTGATACTTGATTGCACCGTTTTGGTTTTGAAAATAAATCATATCAAATTGAGTGTTGTTTAGAAATTACAGCAAAAAACTATGAAGAACATGCAAAGGAGTCTACATACAGAATCAACTCAGGATAGAAATAATCAATGTGCATGAAATACCCTCAATAATTGCCCTTAGAAACAACGCAATGATGCAAACCATATTGCAAGGAAGATGGGATAACTTACCTAACAATGAAGTAAAAGCGACATATTGCAATCTTTGAAGATGAATTGGAATTTCATTAGCAATATCATGATGGATAATAGGGAAAAATGGCGGCCAATTCTTCTCCTCGAGAACAATTCCAGCTGTAAAATAATGAAATTATGCATTTGAATACTAAAAACAGAACCACAGATCTATATTGGCCAAGCAAAAAGCATGAGCTGAAATTTTCCTAAGAAATGAGTTCACATATGTTGAATGGATGCAGTTCTATCTGCAATGTAACATCTATAGAATTCTGAAGTAGTGGTGCTCTTCCACCATTCAATGAATGCCAAAAGCAGCCAAGGAAACAATCAAACTTATTACAAACATTATTGGACCTCAGAATAAGGAGAGGATGTGGAAAGTGAACAACAACGAAGGCCTTATTCCACTGGGTGAGGTTGAAAGTGAACAGTAGAAGGAAAAAAAGCAGTTAGGATGATTAAGGCAGTTAGATGCTAAATAAGTAGTCATTTGGTTTGATAATTGGGTCGTTGAATAAGAGTGATCAATTATAAAGGAGGTAGGCTGACAATTGTGAGAGAACAGAGTCATAGAACTCAGTTGGAAAAGGGCAACTCTAAACTGTCCATTCTTCTCTATTCTAACAACCTATCGAGATTCTTGGAATTACAAAAACCCTGACAATCTTCAAGTACAAATATAAAAGAAATTAAGTTACCTTGTGCAGCAGCTTCTTCTTTCCGTCTGACTTCCTACATTTTTATAAATGAATAGATAAAAAATACAGGAAAACTTCCAGGCATGTGTAGATAATAAGTAATCAGTAGAGAAGGCTTCACATATACAAAGATAACCGAAAACAAATATCATTATACACATTCTCAACATGTAACAGAAAACACCATAGTTTGTGGAAGATAACATTTAGGAAGGTGCCTAATTCAGGGGTCAACACATTATTCAATCAACAATTTCAGATAACCGCTAATGTCCATACTTTAAAAAATAAGATAGTGACCACAAATAATCAATTATTCATGAAAAGAAGTTTAGAATTACTGTTCAGAATGATGATGATGATAATAATTTGAAACATTTTTCAAATGGATGGTTAAGTTAGGTCAATGTATAGTTTACACATTTACCACTTGCCTAATTAATTGTTTTTAGCCTAGAAATATCATTTAGTAATTTATAAATAGTAACTAGTTTTCAGATCAATAATTCTGGTGCAAGGTTATGAAGATTACATCATGGACAAAAGAGGGGAAGAGCAGGAAAGAGAAAAGAAATTAAAAAAAAAAAAAAAAGACAAGATTGTTCCAGTTTCCATCCAACTTTTATACCCTGTTTGGTATCAACAACAGAAAATCTTAACAATAAAGTGTGCAAATAGAGGTCATGAAATCGCATTGCATACCTGTTCCCTTCTTCTCAATTCAGCTTCCTTGGCTTGGAGTTCCTTTTCCTTCTTTTTCAAATCCTAATGTTATACCAGATCATAATTGGAAACCCCACAATCAATTTTCACGACAATACATGTAATGCATATATATATGAAATGAAAAAAAAGAAAAGAAAAGAGATTTTGGATTCCAACAACCTCAAATTTTATTACATACCGTTGATGGATCAAGAGGTATATCAACTGTTGCACCAAAGCCATAGTTGTAATCAGCAGGTTCAGGATTAAGAGGTGATAGCCTTGAATTTGTGGAAGGGGCAACACTTCCAGGATTCTGAAGATTTTAGAACATCAGAATGCTTAAGGTGTAGTTGTGATCGATTTATAGGGTTTTAACCCAGGGGAAAGATATGGGTAAATGGTTTCCTTCGGAACACAACAAAAACTATTTTCATTCTCTTACCAACTGTTTAAGCTCTAGAAGTTCAAACAACAAGAAGGGGTGAAAACAAATTAAAATACATTGAGCGATATTTTTTATTAAGTTTTTTTTTTTTTGTGGATAATTATTCTGAGAAGTGTGTCAGGGTCATTTGACATGGATTATACTTTATGAAAAAGAAAGTTCGTCTAGACCTAGTTCAGCAACCATAAAGATTAAGCAGAAAGTAGTTTATGACTCATACTTTGCAAAAAACATCACCACTTAGCTCACTTAAGTTGACCAAACAAGATTCTTCACTAATGTACTTATGGATTTAAACTAAAATAAATAAATAAATAAAATCATGCAAACAGTATAATATGATTTACTAGTGCTTAATCAATAAACTCACTGCAGTGTAGAATGCACCCCCGCTATAACTTGATTGGCTTGATGTTTTCCCCCTCACAGCTGGTTCCTATATGTGTATACCAAATTTGAAGGATTAGGCAAGAGCAAGTAATGCAAATAAATACACACAATTTGACGGAAAAGTTCAAACTTAAGAAGCAAGTAAATACCTCGCTATCTAACTGGGGATATGATATTCCCAGGGCTCAAACAACAAACTATAAAATCCTCAAGGATCATAACTAATTTTCAAATTGTATATAAATCATAAATTAATACACTTACTATAAATATCATCTTATTCAAACCGGCATATATGTTCACATAAACTTAAATCCACCTGTATGAATAAATATATATTGTGTTGAAAGGCCAACTCTCCTTAAAGCTTAAGTTTTTTTACTGTTCATAGAGAGTGCACAAGCTCGCTTTATTTATGCTAAAATGTGATTTAATCACGAAGGAAAGAAACCACAAGGACTGAATTTACACTAGGTCATAAAGGTTCTAATACTACCATGTCAAAAACCATATCTCCTAAAAACTGCAAGTGGTCCCCGAATGATTTTGTCTCTACTACGTTCTAACTCAAAGAAGTATTGTAGTGTAGGGATGTTCTTAGTAGCATGATGTAGGCTAGTACGAAACTTACTGTTTAGTAATCAAGCCAACATTCATTTAGTGCTATTTCTTTAGTATCAAGTCGTCACTACCTTCTTGGTAATCAACTCAAATACTATTCATTCAGTGTTATTTCTTTAGTACAGTGTATAAACATTGAGCAAGACATGAAAATCATTTGTAAGTGTAAATACAAAAAATTCAGACTCTTATTATTTGATTTCTATCTTGCAGGACATAATAATATATCTTTTATTATTTAATATTAATTGGTTGAATGTATATTCCAGTTTCAGAAACTGGTAATTAGGCTTAGGCCGTTATCCTCTTATGTGTGGTTGATGATATATTATTTGCAGCTTCTTCCATTAATTTGTTCCAGCATCCATTAACTAGGCTCCAAAAAAAGTTTTCCGTGACATAGTAGCTGTGTATTCTATCAGCTGCATGCAGTTGATCTTATCCCATAAATTCCTGACATTCTACCGCAAACATGTTCCTTATAGAGAGTACAGACAAGCACCGAAAACATTTAAGTACTACCCTGGATACTTAACGAAGATATTTGCATAATTCTATTGCAAGTTTGGAAAGAGGTGTCTTTTCAACTCAATCCAAAAGGAACGTTGTTTAAGATCCTTCTTACACGGCAAATAAAGTCATAGACAACCCAAAACCCCGTTTCTTCAGTGACAAAATTCAACTATAGTAAGAAACAAGTCCGCCGACAAGCAATTACGATAATTCCCAAACCAAAATACAAAAACAGTAATGTATCCATTATTCCAGGCTCAAACAACACTGAACACGATCGAATTGAGAAAAAAAAAAAAAAAATACCCAGTTCACAATAACTCAACTTTCTGAAAGCAACGCTCATGGGGAAGAGAGCAAGGGACTTACAGAGAAGGGATTGACTTCTTCTTCATCGAAGGGATTACTATCATAGCGATGAGCCATGAGCGGAAGTTAACGGTGCTAACAAGAAACAAGCCTCGGAATTGTAACCAGAGAATGCAAAGATCTGGAACTTTAGACAGAACAAGGTACAAGAGGATAAAAAAAGGAAAAGAAAAAAGGGTTTTAGAAATGCTGAGATAAAAAATAATGAAACTTGTTATGCAAGGGAAGGAAACGGCCACAAAAGCAACAAGAAGGCAAGGAAGGATACCTGCAGTTTAGACAGGAGAATGGTCTTTGGTCAGCTTCAAAGAGAGAGAGACTCTGTTTTCAACGTTGCTATCATAATTATTATTTGGAAATATATGTATTTCAAAGAATTGAAGGACGATTAATTAGTTGTTCCTTTAGTACGTATTTAGCTTTTATGTTTTGTGCTTACATGTTTGGCTTTAGACTTTTGAGTTTGAGTATTTTTTTGTGGCTAAACTTGAATTATTCATCTCTTCATGATTGATTGCTTAAAATAAAAACAAAAGAGTTTAACAATTTTATATTATTAATCAATTAAAAAACTACCATGGATATGGTTTTTCATTAATTATGTTTATATCATGTATATCATCTATAAGAGAACATTGTTTAGTTCAAAGTTATTAACTTTAAATTATGAAAAATATTTTTATAACTAAGTTTATTAAAAATTAATTTAATTAAATTAGTTATTATTAGACCATGATCTAATCATATTTACGTTTAAATAATCTATTAAAAAGATCAATGTCGGTTAAAGTTAAACTAACCATGATGACTCTCTAATGGTTTACAAAAAAGATTTGGCAGTTTATTAAAATTGATTGATGAACTGAAAAAGCGTGTTTTCTACTCTTATATTCAAATTAATTAATATTCACTCCGCGTAATAATCTAATATCTTTTAAAACTGATTTGATTTGTTTCATTGCATTGCACATCTTGTTGTTGTAATTGCAACTTTTAGAAATGCTGAAGCACCTCTTTTTATTTTCAATTAAATATTCAGTCGTTATGCTATTTTCATAAGAAAATGAATTCAACGTGTCTGTAGTATATTCCAAATAGTTAACTGATCTAAAAAAAAAAACTCCTCAGAGGCATGCTTCAAATAATAGTAAAATTCAACCACGTTTTATAATAATTAAATAGATAAAAAAAACATTTTATATAAATAAATTATGTATAATAATTGATAAATAACAGTATAATTTGATCTCACGTTTACTAATATATAATTTTGGATTAAATACGTTCCTGTACAAATCAGTGAGTTTTGATTTTGGTTATGTAAAAAACCTTATTCATTTATTTATTTTTTCTAAAATTAAAAATTAATATTTTTTTATCCATATTATATATCATTAATTAATTATTTTTATGTTGAATGAAAAAGTAATGATAATTTCAAATAACGCATTCTAACGTTGTAATGATATTAATATCTAGAAAAAACTCTTACCAATAATAAATTAAATGTTATTCATTTATCTCAAAATAATATTAGAAATAAAGTTTTTTAAAATTTTGGAAAATGAAAATAAAAAAACACAAAATTGAAATAAAGAATCGCACACTGTATAAATATTAAAAATGATAATTTCAAATTTTATAGGATAAAAAGATTTATAATAAAAAAATTACTAATTTTATAAAGATTATAAACTTGAGAAACTTTAGATGTGCACATACATAAGAAACTTTCTTAAAATATTTCATATACTCCCGAATGTAATGAAATTTGTAATTTTCGTTAACAAACAGAAGCGTAAAAATACAAGTAATTTAATAATACCATTGAATAGTATTTTCTCAATTCCACCCTTAACATCTAATTAATGCTTATTTTCATACAATTTCTATAAAATAATATATAGAACACGAGTCATACTTTCTAGCACAAGATTAAAAGAAAAAAAAAAAACCCGAAAATAATAATAAAAATGAACTGAAAGCTTCCTAGTTACTCTTGGCTTAGATTAGAGTGCAAAGTTGTCTAGTCTTGGGTTGAAACATAAAATCAAAACAATTGGAACGATCGATCAATCACATCATTGATACGCGGCCAAAGAACCGTGCCTTGTACGCTCCTCAATGACCGTATAGATGCCTGAAGCTGTGTTCAATTCATTTTTCCATAAAGGACGAACAAAATTAAATTATCTTCATTCAATGCATTGTGACGCAAGTTCTTGGTATGACTCACTTGTAATTGAGCAATATCTACCACTAATTACTTCTTAAAATACTGATACTAGTATTAGTTAACCTTTCACGCATTAATTTATAGTTTTTCATATTCTAATTGCTTTAAGAAAGAGACCATCGAAGCAACACATACAACCAAACAGAAGTAACAAACAAGTGTTTACAAGAGCCACCAACTAACGAATCGAAACCTAATCCATATTGCATTATATGATTACAAGGAGCCACCAACTCCAGTTAATAAAATTCCTCCCAACTTTTTTCCGTTTGATTCTTTAATTGTATAATACTTAGTTTGCACATATGATAATTGCATCTAAACAAATAGAAGGGTTGGTACGGGGCTGTAATCTGCAAGGAGAGAGGGCAAGAAAGGAAAGGAGTGATGAGAACAAAGCTCAAACCATAACAAGAAAATGCTAAGCAAAATATCCCTTTTTTTTCTTTGAAAATTGAATGAATTTTCTCATCTACACAAACTAAGTATGCCTATAATAAACAAAGGTAATGCTCTGTGTGATTGAAACTTTAAGATATCCAAGAGAGTTAAATAGTAGAATGCTTAGAAATGCGATGAGTGTCACGCCGTTTTCTAATTCGTCTTTGGTCACTCTTAAATGGATCAACCCAGTTTTTGTCTTGGGAAATAGCTTCATTCCACCGTTCTTTGAAAATTTCAAATTCCCATGTTGATTGCCTTCGTATCTGCTCAATCCATGTTAGTATATATATAAACAGTGTCATTTAATTACTAGGGTCAATGGTAATATAATACCACAAGCCTTGGTTTTGAAAGGAAGCTTCTAAGACTCACCTCGGTTCGCACATCAATTCCTGTTCCACTTTGCCTCTGCTTATTGGGAAATGATACAAAACCAACAATATGGTGAATATTAGGATAGGTAATGAAATAAGATTACAAACAAGAACCACATAATGTCGTTAAAACAGTACCGTAGTTCTCCTTTGCAGGTTTGAAACCTGCAGAAAAGGAAACAAAAATTATTGTGATATGATTGAAGTAAAGGATCCACAACAAACTATACTAGAAAATAGTAGACTATCCACTTTCACAGATCCTCAATAAATTGCCAGAAAATTCTTAAATCTGGTTATTATAACGATATCAACAATATAAGAATGGCTACCTTGACTTTTCCATTTGCATTTCCAAACCATTTAAATGTTTCAAATATTTAACATGCATCACAAACAAGGTTTTCTTGTTAAAGATACAGGTGAAAAAAGTTATTCAGAAAAAAAGAAAATAAACAACTTGGTTCTCTTTTCCAATACAAAAAAGTCCACATTTCAATCTGAGGACTAATGTTTCATAAAACTGAAAAAATATTTGGTTGCTTGCAGTCACTGCAAAATCAACGAATCCAACGGATACAAACTGAATTACAACATTAGGGAAGGAGGAGGCATATACCTTTGTTGTTCTATGACCACTGCCACCCAGAGTTTGTATTCCCTTGTGGAAAACATATTCACTATCAACAACTCCCACATTTTTGGTTCGATCTCCCTGAAAAGATGACATTGGTCTCACTAATGATACTTATCATGAAGGAATGGTGGAAAAAAAAAGCAAGGGAAAAATAGCCTAGTACACAAATGATCAACTGACTAACTACAAATTGAATGAATCAACCCATGATGCATTCCAAATTGACCTGCTGGCGTCGCATGAGAATGTGCAAAAAATATATTCCATAACTATATCCATTGTCAAGTGCAGTAGTAAATAGTAACAGGCCAATATCATATACGTAGATACTAGAAGCTAGAGCAAAAGGTTTTTAGCTGAACACAAGAAAGATTACTGCAGCATTGGTGGACAGCGTACACACAAGTACCTATATTCTTCACTACCAAGAACCAAAAAACAGAGTTGCATGGCAATGAGGATTGTACACAAAGGCAAGGGACATCATGGAAAAAAGGAAATAAAGAGGGAATAAATTTACAACCACCAAAAGTGTCCAGAAAATGGATATTTCTCACCTGTGCACAATATCCTAGTTTCATATCCACTCCCCAACCATGGACAAGGTCATTCTGGAGAAACACAGATGATAATGATGAGCCAATATTGAATGCCAATATAGTGGATTAGGTTAAATTTCATCAGGAAGCCCATCAAAAGAAATTGTAAGTAAACCAAGATAAGTTTTCTTTTCAGTAGGTAGATGAAGGCAAACCTCAGACAACCTATAGGCAAGCATTTTGGAAACTTGAAAAAAAAAAATGACAACTTGAAACAATAATAATTTCTTGGACCACAAAAATTAAGTTCATGATATATAACTCAATGTTGCGATTAGAAGAAACAAAAGTTTAGGATGAGTTTGAAAGCAGTTTGCAACATGCCCTTGGTTAGAACTTGGATTAAATATTCGTATGAACTTTGCAAACAATGTTACCTGTATAAGATGCCAAGTACAGTACCAGGCAGCTCGAGAGAAAACCGGAGCCATACCTTCCACAAACCTACACAAGTTGTATTAAAGTATTTGTGTCATTCATGACACTAAGCATGGCAAGATTTATCATAAATAACCACAGGATTTTTTCTTTATCACATTTCTGATGATGCTTCCAAAAGTCCAGAAACGGAAAAGTATGGTATACTACAAGGTAATAAAATAAACCATAAAATCATCAGCATTTTTTCATCTTCTGACATTGTAGAAGAGACAATTCCAGCACATCATTTCAATTTCAAAATGAGTGCACCCAAATGAATTCAAAGATGACACTCTCAGAAAACGATCTTGCAGGAAGATCTAGTAATAGACTGCAGCCTGCAGGTTATTCCATATATTTCAACACTACAATATCATCCTAGAAGCACAAATCAATAAAAAAGACAAACAACAATAAAATTAATATAAATTATAGTGACAAGCCTTCGACACGAAACATAATATAACAGAATAGACATGCGTGTCCCTTTTACGTAAGAAAAGAATTTTCAAAATATTAGTCATCTAACAGATAGACATGAGTGTCCTTTTTACCTAAAAAGAATTTTCAAAACATTAGTCATCTAACAGATAGACATACTTTGTCTTTGATAAAACTCAGTTAAGCCCTTCACAGTTCAAAAATGATTTGCTTTGATTTTTTTTATTAAATCAACTTTTGAGTTGACTATAAACTCTTTTTTTCCTAATTACAGTATAAATACAGGCTTGAATGAACTTCCAACGAAATTTAAACATGTCCACCATCTTGTTGGTAAAGTGGAGTGATAAAATGCATCACAAGATGCAGCGCAAACATATTGAACTATTACACAGCTCTAACAGTTACCCAGTGCATGGCGGTCCCTCACTTGAATCTGAACACCTTGTACTTCCTCTGCGTTCATAAACTCTTCTGCTTCAATGAAAACCATCAAATGTAAGTACAATAAGCATTGTTCAGCAAGTGCATATATGGGTAGTCTAACAAAACATCACCTATGGAATTTCTTGGTTCTAGCTCTAATTGTAATTCTATGATGTATCTCTGTTGAATTTGGGTCAAGAGCTGGTTGAGATATCTCCAAACCTTCTTGCTTTATAATTTCAACATATCTGCAAAAAAAAAAAAAAAGCCTACATTAATTCTCGTTTTCTTTTATGAGACAAGACTGTAGGAAGGTTACCTACTAGCCTTAAAATTAGAAAAGGTTTACGAATATAAACCCAATAAATAACCTCATTAGTCCACTACCACCACCAACAAGCAAAGATTTCTTATAAGCCTAATCTAAGCTTAATAAGCCTAACAAGGAATATACATCTTATAATGTATGGCAGAAAATTCAGAGCCGATTTTCATTCAGCTATCAAACTTCGAAAGGGAAAAAAATAACATACCATGTAATCAAATAAAATTGGATTCTTTTTCATAACATTTACACCAGTATTGCAGGTAACTGCTAGCCTATAAAATGGTAATCATTTACATCAAAGGCTGATTGCACACAAATATCAAAATAACAGCAGCACCAAAAAAGCAAAGATTCATCCTTCATACCTTGAAGGCGAAAAATGCTCCACCCCTAGATCTTCATCCCAGAGAAAGATATAATCATAAATAGAGACTATATCCGGATGTAGAAATCTCTTCGCAAACCACCTGACAAAGAACTCATGAAATAATATATAAGTCCAGGAAAATAAACCATCAACTACATATATTAGTCAGTATGCAGACACAGCATATAAAATTAGAAATAAAACTACAAATCTTGGGAAAGTATCACAAGAGAACCAGAAGTCTGATGTAAAGAGTTGCAACATACTGAATACAGATAACATAAAAAAGCCATATTAAGAGAGCCCAGGTCAAGCAATGATAGATTGTCCAATTCACCATCCCCAATCCCATAGCCTTACCAGGCATTAACAAGATGCACTTATCTGAATACATTTTCAATTTCTTTGGTGGTTCCCAGCAGAAAAAGGGGAAGAAAAAAAAATTAAGACTTTATTTAATCTGTTGAGAGAAGCCAAAATCTTTACCAAATTTCAAGGCTTTACATAGACTAACTGCCTAACCTGCTCATCCAGAGTAGAAGAAATTTTCATTTTCAACAAATTATTTACTTGTTGAATATGTAATATGCTTCATTTATTTATTATTACAGTTTCATACTTACCACTTTGTTTGATTCTGAGCAACAATGTGTATGGCCTTGCTACTCCAACCAAGATTCCACCATCCATCCACAGTGCCATCATAATGGAATAAAATAATTGTGAAGTTTTCTCTAAGAAACTGAAATAAATGAAATTAGATAAAGAATTCTGATTCAATTAATTTGAAAAAATCTAAGCAACATCAAAAATACCTTCTGCACCATAGCATCAACATTCTGCTTTTGTTTAATACCAACTGGAACTGCCAGTAAGCTACGATTAGAGTAAACATTAGCCTGCAATTTCATAAACAATCACAATCGTTACATTTGTTAACTCGGGTAGTGCAACAAAATCCCAAATCGAATCTATCTTTCTGACAGAGTCAATAAAACTAAAATATAGAAGAATAATGCAAAAATCTGACCTTTGACCTTGAACTACTTCTTGACCACAATGGTCTTAACTCCAAATCTGAATTAGCATGTATTATACCTTGCGGCAAGCCTTTCAACTTACCAGAAGTTGAAGGATACACCTGCAACTAAACATATAAAATATATCTCCAAGTTAATATCATATCAGGTAAAAATATTGAAACAGACATGTTCATCACAAATCTTGAAAGCAATCATTCCCACCATTTACAATAACCAGCAGGGCATTTTTAATAAAATCTGGAAAAAGAGAGAATCAGAAAGCTACTCGGGCTAGTAGTGTAACATCATATTTTTACCTTTGGTTGTCCCCAGAAACTCCATTTTTTGTCAATCTGATAGCAGAAGATAATAAACATAGAACGGGAAAACAATTCATGTTAGAACACTCAGCATAAGAATATGTCATTTGACAATGCATTGTTGACATGGTTATAGGGTTCTCTGGAAAAGCATCACCAATTATCGTTAATAATATGCTAAATTGCAAAGTAAACGAGTCAGAGACATTTAATGAACACTTCGACCTTTTGTTAACACGTACAAGCAAAGATATCCCAGAGAATTCAACTGACCTCTTCTTGGTGATACTGATACTTTGTAGTTCTATACACAATGAACAACATTACTGTACACAAAACTGCCATAAAAGGCAGTTGTTTGATCTTGAAACTTGATTTGCCCTGTCCCAAAACACTATCGTTAAAACAGTGATCTTACACATGAATCTCCAGAGCTAAAGAATATTTTACAGGAAACTCCTAACAAATTCCGATGTAACGAGATTAGAAGAAAAGAGGACAGACCCCATCAGACAAGCCACTCTTTTTTCTCATTAGCCATCTCAATGATTTGATCGACGTCATAGAAAGTTGAATCTTTTATTCAGTCCTCATCAAAATCTGGTTGCTGTAACATTGGGCATCCATCAGAAGCCATTTCAAGCCAATGCTTAATATATTTACTTCTCAATTACATTGCATAATTTGGCATCAATAAAAAAACCATCTGGTCGAACAACAAAAGTTGAAGTTACCATATTCTAAGTTCTAAAACACAACATGAAATATACGCAAGGAAAATGACCATGCCCTAAAAAATATACTAAATGACTTGGAGCTAAATTGGTGATGAATACTACCTAAGGTCCAAAACAGAAAAACAAACACCAGTGCAAAACTGAAAGACTTTACTCATACAATTTCACCTTTTAATGTAAAACAAGACAGCAGCAACAACTATAATTTGTGCAAAGAGATATATTACGCATGCGCAATGTGACAACTAACATAAAAATAAATAAAGATCTTAATATCTGTAAATTGGAGAAAGAGATAGATGAATTGAAACTTAAGAGAGAAAAGCATGCTTAGAGTATTGGCGATGAGAGAAAAGGCACGCCTCAGCTTGCTGAATTCACACACCAACCAAACTTGCACATAAAATATACCAAAAACGACACTCAATTAAAGCAATCTCCGAAACGATCGTCAAATGACTTACAACATAAACACCGATGAACACGGAAACACAACTGCAAACATTGGATTTTTTTTCTCCAACTACAAGAATCACATGAAAAAATTGCAAGAACACAGCTTCCCAAAACATTGAACTACACCTGCAACCAAAAGTCCTTCCTTCACAACAAAGCCCATTATTTTTCTTCCCCGCGAAAATTAAACAGAATTATAATATTAAAGAAAAAAAGGACTAAATGTTACTCCCACTGATACAACAGAAGAAACAACAATTCAGTACTCATTGACCGTTCGGTCAGATCTAACCCTCTTTACACGTTTTTACTTGTCATTTAAAGAAGAGTAAAGCTTCATTTTCACTCCAAATATTCAAAAACACAAAAATTGAAATACTTGACGGCCAAACCAGCTTTGTATACCAACAAAATTGAAGATTTTTCCCCATCTTTTTGCACCCGGATCTTCCCTTCCAGACCCAGAACAGCGAAAGGCAATAAACTAAAGAAGAGAGAGTGAAAGCAAGGGAAGAGCCTGAGAAACTCAAAGGGGTCGCTTGAAAAAGCGAAAAGCAGAAAACTTTGAAGATCACATGACATACCGAGCTGAAGCAGCGAACCCCAGATGAAATAAAACAAAAAGAAAGAGAAGGAAATGGATTGCCACGAATAAAGAGTGTCAGAGGTTGAAGAGGATCGATGAAGAAAGCAACAGAGAAAGAGGTTTAAAGGGGAACCTGAATGCATGCGTGTCTGTTGACAGATGAATGATAATGAAGAAATGAAGAGTGCGATGACAACTACACTCTTTTGCTGGCACTCACTGAGTCGCGTCAATTGTTCCTCTTCTCTTCTCTTCTCATCCAAAACAAAACCCAACCCAACAAAACCAGTAGCTTTATAAGTCCCACCTGCTCCTAATACCACCTTACGACTATCTATGTATTTTCTCTTTACTACAGTACTTGCTAATCGCACCGTCACTTTCGCCCTCTGTCTCTCTCAACCCTTTCTCACTTCTCGCCACTGTCACATTTCCCTCTTTTTCTTCTTTATTTTAATTCCTCTCTCCCTCTATCCTTGTAATTCCACAGAGACTTTGGAATTTTTCGCTAAGGATATTCTAGTATAGTAGTTTTGTATTATATTGTTTTTGTCACCCTTGACGATGTATCTCATCTTTTTTATTCCACACACAATTTATAGGAAAATTAACATTGTTTTCCTTCTTCTTCTGAGTCATCTTCCTTAAAAACTCTTGTGCAAATGTACATTTGTTTTGTTTTATTACAAGGAAATGTATCTTTGTCTAGTAAAATTTCGAGATATATCCATCAGTTTTAACTTTTTTGATTGATTACGAAATTACTTTTTCAATTCGAGATTTACTGTTATAATTCTCACCTAAAGCCAAAATTTGAAAAAAAATGGCACAAGTCAATTTTTGGTATGGACTTGAATGTCCAATTTTCAGTATGAAATGTTTTGCATATGAAGGATGGTTGTGTAGTGTTAATATGCGATCTTAATGTCACGAGACGAGATCTAAAATGTGTATGTAGATGATGAGTGTTTGAGTGTTCATAAATGTTTACATGAAATGTAAGAGTGTATCCAGAGTGAATATATCATTAACTATTTGTTATTAGCTATTTAGTTTGAAATTATGTGACTGGATATTAAAAAGTTATCAACCAACCTCTCTATGATATATTGGGTTTAAGGGCAAATTGATTTTTAATTGTCACTTTAAGGGCAACACAACATCATTGAAGAGCACTAAAATCTTGCCTCATAAGAGGAACAGTTGTTGGGCAGAGAAGCTGCATTTCTTCACTTTTTTAAGGTCCCACAAGATTTTTACTATTATAAGCGGAGCAATTGAAAAATTTCTTTTACTTGATCCAGGAAGAAAAATAATTAATCAGGTTACTTTAAATAATAAACACGACGTAGTATTAAAAAATAATGGAAGAAATATTATAAAGTTTATTTTTAGCATACTCTGATTGACTTACTCCATCGAAGCTGCTCTAATATCCAATAGTATTTGCTTAATATATTGATGTTAATCATTTACATTACCTAAAAGTTTACCAGACGAAATAATAAAAATGGTAATCGTAATTATAATAATACTATACTAATTTTTATGTTGTTTTTGTCATAAGATTGCAGAAATTATCGACAACATTAATTTTTTTTAATAAGTTTCATTTAAATTTAAATGAATGGGTAAAACTTGGCTTAATATAAATAAAATTAAGCAAGATTAAGGCAAATCATTTTTACATGGTGTAATTTTTTTTTCAAATTTTTCAAAATAGTTAATTTTTCAAAAATTACAAATTTAATAGCACGACTTGATTACGAAAAAGCCACGCTTCATAACATAATTTTTTTTAAATCATACTAAATAATATGATTTTTATATAAATTTTTATAAAAGTCTTCTTCACCTATAGTTTTATATTATATTAATTTTTATTATATTATCATAATAAAAATATATTTTATATAATTAATAATAAAATAAATAATGATAATTATACATATATTATTATTATTATATTTATTAATAATGGAAATTTAAGTATTGTTATTATTTATTTATTGATAATAATTATTATATTTAATAATATATTTTTTTAACAATCATTCGTTATATTTTTTTAATAAATATAAACGTGTTTGTACAACAGTAAACAAAACTTAACCAAGCACGTGAAGTTGAGGTTTACAAGTTGGTTCTTGTAGAAGAATTCAAACAAATAGTTGGAGCGCAACCTGCGATTTTTTGCTGATATGGAAAACATTAAAATAAAATGTTATGCTAATCATGTTAGCATCTTTTCAGGCATGCCCCTAATAATACAATAATATAATACCACTGCTTTATGATTTGTTTTGACAAATCCTACTTGCATAACATTTTTTAGGTCACCAAAGGTGGAAACTAAACGTGTATTGTTGACATTTGTTTCTCATGAATATGTACCAAATCAACTACTTCAATAATTTGAATTGTTAAATGTTATTCTTCATTAAGACATCGACCATTTTATAACTTGTAATAACATTTTCATGTCATATAATTTAGCATCATAACCATAGAAAACTAGTTTATTCTTCGACATTGTAAATCAAATGAGTATGTTGGTGCCGCCTCTTGCGTTTTTTTTATTAATTTTTTCAGTTTTATTCTAATTTGATTAAAATTAACAAACTGATTTTTAAACGGTGTTTTTTTTAGGTTTAGGTCTACTAATCTCTGGCAACATCGTTACATCGGTTTCCAACAGTGACATAAACCGAAACTTTCTCTATCCATGGTCAATTGCGTTTACTGTTTAATTTTTCAATTTATCATATTTTAAAGCGAAACATAGTTGATTGGACTTAGAATAACTAATGTTTCATAAAAACTCATGTTAGGCAAATAACATGTTTAACTTGTATGGATATTTTAAATACAGGTGGAAAAAGAGGGGGCATTTGTGGCAATGATGGCAGTGATGTGTGGAGCAAAAGGTGAGTTCGAAATGATTATGCAGACGAAGCTTTGGACCCGCAACACTAAAATGTGCCCCTCTGTAGCTCATGGTAATGGCTATTAAGAACTGTAATGAAAAGATGTTGTGGTAGGAAACCAACTTAACCTAACACACACCCTATGTTAATGTTCTCCTACCACACACACATGCTCCTCCAAATTCTAGCTAGATATTATGCTCTTATATATTACAGAGACAATAGACAGTGAAAAATTCATATTTAATTTTTCTTATGTTTTAAATTTTATCAGTTCACAGTAGTTACATTAATCTTATATACATATAAAAAAGAAAAAGTATAGATCCACCTTTTGGTTATCATTAATCCATCACACACATTCAAGCAATTAATTAATTTTGAAAACACTCACAGTGATCATGTGATGGAGTTTTATGATCCCACATGTGCGCAGCCAAGATTTCAAACATGCAACAAAATAAGTAAATGTTGTCACGGAATGCATTGGCCTTCTCACTTTTGTTCTGCACCACAATAAAAGTAATATAAACAAAAATGAGAGAGTAAAGGGACAAGAAATGTTTTTTCTATTATCTTATTTGGCTGTTCATAAACAGGGTAAGACAAGATTTTGAATGTTGAAGGTGAAACAAGGTAAAATATAATGTGTCATCCTTAAAGATATAAAGCTCTGCTTCTTTAGTTACAAGTTTTTTAAAAATTTAAAATAAGTTTCTCACCCTTAATATTATTGTTTTAGATTAAAGCGACTCACAGATTAGGTTAAGAAAGCTGAAATTACTTTGAAGTGGGTCAAAGTAAAAAGGCATAGCCCAATTGTAGCTATTGAACTTTGTTGCCTACTCCAACTATATTTTTGTTATTCAGCCTATATTAATAATAAAAAGACATGATATAATTAATTTAAGCTCTTAACTCATTTAGCATAGTATTCAGGGATGATAATGGGTGAAGTTTATTTATGGCTATGTCAATTTGTTCTTGCCAACTTAGACTTAGGTTAGGCTACATTTTTTTAATGAAATAAGAAAAAAACTTATTTATAAATATGTAATTATTCAAAAAATTATTTAAATATGTAATTAATATATTTAAGTAATATAAATAACTATTTGTTTTTTAATGATGTTGACTTAGATAAGAGTTAAACATGTAAATAAATAACTTCTTGTTGCGCAACATTATTTATATTAAAACTAAAAATGAGGCTTATACAGCATAAACAAATCATATTCTTGATTTTTATAAAGTTTATCTTTCGTATTTCCAACTATGTTTCACGTATTTTGTAATATTGATTTTTTTTTCTTATATGAAAAAAAAAAAGGTTTTTAAGAAAGTTAAAAGTTAACTCAACTTTCAAAAATTTTAGACTGAAAATAAAAATGATAGGAAAAAAAAGTTTATAATAAATAACAGGTTTGGTTTGATTTTCAGTGTTATATTTTTAATAAGTTAAATTTATTTATATTTGAATAATTTTACTTTTTAAACCTATTTGATGAACATTGTGGGTTTGAACTGAATTGACGGTAAGCATGACAAGGTAGGGGCGGGGTGAGTTTTGCCATCCCGATCCTCATTCCTAGTTTTTTTAACCATCGTCATTCTCGTCCACCGATCCTTGTCGAGTTAAAAATTAAGTCTTTATTCTCGTCCATGTTGAATTTCAGATTCCTCGCCTCGTCCCCGATCTATATTATTTTTAAAAAGATAATTACATTTATAATAAATTAATTTTATTATGTATCTTTTATATATAAATAAATATTTATAATTTATAATTATTATTAATTAAATATACATTTTAATTTGTTATATTTATATTAAAATATGTATGTAAAAAAATATTTAATTATTTTTTATTTATATATATAGAGAATATTTATATTATTATTATTATAACACTATTCAAATATTTTAATACTTATAACATTATTATTATAATACTATATTCAAATATTTAATTATATATATAAGTTAATTTATTTTTAAGTTGTCATTTAAAAATATGAAATATATAGTTTATAAGGAAATATTTAATAAATTAATTCTTATTTAATTAGTTTGAAGTAATAAAAGTTTAAATTATCAATTTCTTTTAATCCTTTAAAATATAATTATGTTATTAAGATAAAATTTGATATATGATAAATAAGAATAATAAGATAAAAAAATATGACATAATAAAATCTAATAAATATAAATTATAAATAAAATAATATTAGTTATTACTAAGATTTATGTAAAATATTTAGAAAAAGATAAAGAAGAAAAAAAATTTACTTTGTGTTCATTAAATTGGTTTAAAAGATTAAATAAATAAATAAATTGATGGGAGATATTAAGGAATAATAAAAAATATAAAGGTAAGAGAGAATAATGTAATAAATTAATTGATATAAAAGATTAAAAAAGACAAAAAAAATTAAAAGTGGGTAGAAGAAAAATAAAAATTGATGAAATATTAAAAGAATAACATTAATATTAATATTTTAAATTTTAAATTTAAATATAAAGTCGAAGCGGGGACGGGGTCGGGGTGGGGATTGCATTACTCATCCCGCCCCGTCCCCGACTTTTTAAAGTGAGGAAAACTCGAACCTGTCCTCGCCCTACCCGGTCAACTCGGTTTTCTCGTCAAACTCGGGACGGGGATAGATCGGTCCCTACGAATACGGATTTAATTTTCATCCCTAATCAACGGATTTATACATATTAATTTATTATGAATTTACTTAAAAATGAATTATTTCAATCTAGTTTATTTTTTAATTTTCACTCGACTCATTATGAGTTACATAAATTGATTCATTAAAGTAAGTCACTAAAATAGAAGAATTAATCTCACTTTCACATTCATACATAAATAGAATAACTGCTAAGAATTAAGAAAAAAAAAAGGGGGTTCGGCATCATTCCATTAACAATTTGACTTGAATCTTTCAACTCACAAATTTTCATTTTAACTCATAATAAAAAAAATTAATATTTTTTCACCTTTTTTAATTATTTGATCCATCCACTTTTGTACATTTTCTATTTATTAATTTATTACTTTTATAACATAATTTTTAGTTGTAACGTTAATGTGATACTTATTATACCATCGAGTTAATATTTTTGTTAAATATAGAACAACAATTTTATAGAGAATTAAAATTATATAATGAAAATATTCAGAGATGAAAATAAAAGGAAAAATAGTACAATTAAGTGTGTGTTTGTCATTTTTTTTATCATCTTTTAAACTATCAAGATATTAATTAATAAAATTGTTATTAATTAATAAAATTGTTTAGAGAACATATAGTAGATAAAAGTAAAATAATGAAAAGCTTCTAGAGGTTGAATAATAATAATAATAATAATAATAATAATAATAATAATAATAATAATAATAATAATAATAATAACCACACTAAAAATATTTTAAAATTTATGAGAAATATCTTTACAACAAAACTTGCCAAAAGCTATAACTTGATTGCACCAATTTTAAAATTTATATTAGTTTACATACAATAAAATATGTTCTAATAAATTATTTATAAATGTTATAACATGAATAATTTTATTAACGTATATATATTTCTAAACTAGTAATGATAAATTTTAAATTACACAAGAAAGTGTTAATTATATACTTTTCGTGTCGAAAAAAAAAATCTAGACTTGAGTTATTCTTACAAAATTTATAAATAAATTAAGAAATAATTTCATTTAAATAAAAATATTTTTCCATATTTGACTTATTGGTGGCAAGTTGTCATTATATTTTTATTTTGACTGGTTGTTCATTATGGAAAGGACTGGTTGTTCTTCTAATTACTTGTATTTGTGAAAAAAAGAGTTATTTCAAATCTTTTTTTTTTCTTTTGATGTTTTATATGTCTTAGCCAATTTTGTCTAAAAAAATTAAAATTACCACTACATAAAATATAACCATAAATATCCTTGGGGTATGAAAGGAGTACTGATATAATGATTTATATGTACTTTACTTCTGAAAGTCCATAATTATATATAGCTAACCAGCTTATAAGACATTTAAGTAAAGAAACAATAGATCACATATTTGAATTTTACATACCTTTTATATATCTATATATTTAGTTTACCAAGTAACACTAAAATTTTGACCCATCAAGAACCCACGCGTCATCAATAAATCAATTTAATCCCATTTATAACATGCTCATAGTTACAATTTACAACAAAATCTAGAAGTTGTAAAAAAAGTTGACCACTTTCATGGAAAACTTCTGCACACTAAGAACTAATACAATTGTGGTTAACTTACATCTTTCAAAAACTCTTGGTTGTACCAAGAAACTTGGTCTTTCACTAAAGAAGACAGAAGAAATCTAACAAAAAAAAAATAAGAATATGTGTACAAAAAAAATACATCGATGGTGCATTATTATTTGTTCCTAACTCTTTTCTTTTCCTTGGTTGGTATTGTAGGCTTTTGATTTGCAGTCCCTCGTCCAATTCTTTTGGGTCGACCAAAACCTTTCTTCTTCACACTTAAGGATTCTACTGAGGATGGAGAGTCGAGTTTATCAGGTTTCTTAGTTTCATGTGAAACTCCAGATACAAGGTTATTTCCACTAGTTGCTTTTGCAACTGATTTTCTATTTCCTGGTCGTATACTTCTTGGTTTCACATGAGGATTATGTTGCATAGGTAATTTAATTGGCACATTAGTAACTTGAGTGGTGACTTTGTTACTTGTGCCCTTCAAACTTTCCTTTATTTTTTTGGTGACAGTGTCTCTTAGTAGTATAGCAGATTTGTATTCACGTGTGCTTTTGGAGTAGAAGACTAAAGCATTGTTAGTGAGTAGGAGCAAGTCTCGAAAAAGTTCTACACTTGACTTAATTGTTTGGTTGTTAATTCTTGATCTTATGGTGTCGAAGTCCATGTGTTGTCGGATAATTTTCTTGTACCTCCCTCTCTTCTGTTGTTAAATAGTAGTACACAAGTCATTCAATGACTACTTCATTTCTTGAATCTCCACTTTTCTCTATTTTTCGTAACCATTTCAAAAGGAATAAATATGCAAATTCGACCTAAAGAGCTTGATGGTGTAGTTGATAAATGTAAAAAAAGGAAAGATGAAGATTTATGACATGTAAAATGATCATGGGTGAAAATGGAGCAACAAGAATTTATATGCTGGAGCAAGACTTTGATCGTATTTTAGCATCAAATGCATCCATTAGAACAACAAACAGTTACGAAAGGCAGAAGCATACTAAATCTAGAGCATCTGTATCTGTTTAATTAACTACACATACCTGACTATCAAGTCTACGACGAAAGGCAGAAGCACATTTAGTTTTAAAAATAGAATCCAAAATCTTCATCATGTCTTCCGCCCTACCCTTTTTCAAATTCTTATTTTGACAATTTACACCACTTGATTTGGCAACTTCACTGTGGTTACTGGTAGAACTTTCTTTACACCATGAAATAACATCAACCGAATCTAACAAAACACTTTCTTCTATACTTTCTTTCTTCATATTCTTGCCACAATCCTTCCTTTTCCTCTTCCCTCTTCGTTTTTTAAAACTTCCCCTTTCTCCTTCGTATACAGCATATGCCAACTTATCTACGTTAAAAAACTTAAGCTGCTTTGTGGAGTGCAAAACGTGAGGCTTAGTTTCCCAATCTTGAACAGGCACAGACAAAACCAGACATCCAGGAGACCAACTTGTCCCAGTTTCATGCGTGAAACTCCCAGCAGATAATCCATCCTTTGATGTCTCTTTGGTGGAAGATTCAACTCTTTCTAATTTATGTGAATCTACATGCAACTTTGGACGATTTGATCCATTTTCAATGTGACAATCATCTCTTTTCTCATTCTTACCAGCCTTGAGGCTTTCAAGCATAGATTTAAGAGACCTGAAACAAAGATATTTTGTAAACTACACCCAAAAAAGCATACTAGTTTTCCAACATTTATCCCCGGTCAGGACTCTGAATTTTAGAGTATTATGTGTGGTCAATTTCTCTCATGTGCCTTCATTCCAGTGGACATGTCATTTATGGAAAAGAAAAATGAAAACCTCAAAGAAATTGAGATTTGTTGTATCTCAGAAGAAATACTTTGTTGTCTTCTTCAAAAACCCCAGCTTGAAGAGAAAAAATTACAACTAACCCAATTGAATCTTCAGATAGTTGTATGGATCTCTTCAATTCTGCTACTCTAGCCTTCCTAAGCTCCTCAAACCAAGCCCTGAGAATTTTATTCCTTTCAACTTCAGAACAAAAATGTCATTTTATCATTGTAGGATGAGATACAATACAATACAAATATTTTTTGTGAAAGCTTTGACGTTTATTCATCAATTCTGAAGTGTAAAAGAAAAAAAAAATACACTAACTACATTTTTTTAAAAGAAATTTATTCTACTTACTTGTTTCCAGAATATCTTTGTTGCAGTTCTTCATATTTGGCTTTACATATCTGCAAAAGTTACATCCATGCTACAATTAACATTTCACCAAATATTTTTCTTACCTTTTTTTTTTAAGTGCAAAGAAAATCAACTAACATTTTATTGAAAAGCCAAATTTATTCTTAAAATAGGAAAAGGGGAGGGGATCATCATTAAGGCTTTAACCCGTCTTGCCAACTATAACCAGACTTGAAAGAAAACTTATGGTAATATTTGAATTTTTTTCTTTATTTATAATTGACATTATTTTTCTTGATAATTTTCATTTATTTTGTTCTATTAGAAACAACAAGTGTTGTAAAAATAAGATGACATTTTTCTAATTACAAATAAAAGCCCGTCAAAGAAAAGAAAATGTGAAGTAAAAGTTGTAGTAGAAGAATATGAAACCTTGGTTTTAGTATGTGAGGTTTTGAACATCAATTGCTAATGTCCTCAACTTAAAAAAAAATAAAAATAAAAACATTACAGCAAATGGGTTTGCAAAATGACATTTAATTTTGTCACCTTTGAAACAAAACGATAACAAAAATAAAATGTTAAAAAAAAAAAGGAAAAATCAATGACTAAAGACTCGTGTTGTTATAGACTAAAGTGAAAATTTACTCATATGATATTTTAAGTGCTATCAATGTAATTATATAATGATAATTTGGTATGAATATTGTGAAACCACAAAACCCATGAGTTAACTATCATAGACAAATACTTTTGGATACTAGTTTTAAGGAGCAGATTTCATATCTAGATTTACTATGCTAACTTAATTGAACTATTAAGATAATCTTTTAAGTTATCAACACAAAATAGACAATATAAAATGAAATAGTTCATAAGATCAATAATACTTAATGCCTCAAATCGACTTAACACAAAGATAAGAAGCACATTTATTAGCGTTAAAAATTTATTTATTAGTCATGGTATGATTGGATATAAAGACTTTTAAAAGAGAAAAATAAGAATAAAAAATGAAATGAATTTTACATAAATTAAAATTAGTTTATAAAAAAACTAATTTATAAATTTATTTTATATATTTTTATTTTTATTTTTAACTTGTACATAATGTAATTTTAGTTTGCATATTTATGTCCAGATATACTCTAAAATCAATTAATTTAACCTATGGATATTTACACAAATGAACATGTTGATAATTTAACCTATGTGGAAGTTATTCTTCTTTTATTTTATTTTTTCAGAATGTTAATAATTAATTTTGTTAACTTTTTCTTAATTTTTTTGTAAAAAATAAAATAAAATAATACCATTTTTAAAGTTTTTGTTTTCTTCTCTATTTCTCAGCAATTTTTACTCCATCAAACAACTAAATATTCAATTTTCATTTCTTATTATTTTATCTTTCACATATTTCTTCTCTACTTTTATTTATTTTAGTATTTTATTCAAAATCATAGGCAACGATAATACTTATAGAGAATATTTTATATATGAATGCCGCCATTTTATGCAAGACACATTTAATCCACTAGATTGTGACACTGAAATGACTTACAAAGTATCTTTAGTTAATTATATTTAATTTAATTATACTTTTAGTCCCTACATTTTAAGTATTTTTTTATAATAAAAAAAATAGTCCTCAAAAAATAATGAATGAAATTTTTGTTCCTAAATATTAAATTTGAAAGCTTACAAATAATCTTCATAAATTAATTTTAATTTTTTAAATTTAATGTTTAAAGAATTTTTTTTTCAATTTCAAGGAATCAAAATAACTTTTTTTTTAAGTTTGAAAATCAAAATCATTTAAATTTTATAAACTAAAAATATAATTAAATCATAATTTTCTTTACTTAACAAGATTCAAAATATTTTATTCATTCATTATCATAATTGATTTTTTTTTAAAAACAATCTTTGATTTTGTGTAAGGAATTATAAAATAAATTAAACATTTGTTGACTAAAATCCATCTTAACTATTTTACCAAATACCCTATTATTTGATTGACAAGAGTTATTAAATCATAATTCACAAAATACACAATAAATTTAAAGAGTTAAGAGAATCATGGGATTATTTAATGGAAGATAATAAACTTTTTAATGGATGACAATCAATTTTTTCTTTAATCAAATTCAGATTCAAACTTTTCTTGATTTAAAAAAATTAGGTTGGGATAAGAGATAACTACCAAACTATCCCTATCTCTGTTTTACATTCAATTATAACCTAAACCCAAGAATGTTATACTTGATGATCTTTATCTCTCTCACAAAATTATAGATTTGTTATAATTACTCTTAATTTTTTTATTTGTTTAAATATATTTTTAAATTACTTTTAAAGTATATATTTAAAAATAATGGGACTGAACGAAAAACTTAAACCTTATAACAAGAACAAATATAAAGACTCAATTTATAATCTGACAAGTATCGGGAAGATGATTAATAAAATGGAGAACAAAAAACTAAAATTCAAACACAAAATAAAATAAAATATTGTTCGATTTTTATTTTTATTTTTTACATGTTCCTAACTTGCTCTTTTTTTACTCCTTATCCTTATCCTCGATAAAATATATTTTTGCACAGTTTTTTTTTATCCACAAGAACATTATAACATTTATTTTAGAAATAAAAATGGTGTAAAAGATTATACGATCATGTAAGGTAACCTAACAAACACAATAAAATTTACCATTTTATTAAAACATTTTTTTATACATAATAAAATATTTCTCACAATGCTGAAATCAACTGCTTCCTAAAAATTAAATAATGAAATTTTGTTAACGTAAAAATTATAAATCCTTCACATCAATCCTTGAAGTAATATTTTATTATATTTAAATTGTATGGATTTTTATATTAGTATAATAATTTTTATCGGATAAGTAAGCGATTAATAAGAAAATAATAAATAAGCAAGAAATTTCAAATAAAGTATAAAAAGAATGAACTTTCAAGTGAATATTTATATTTATATGTTTATTAAATTAGAAGAATAAGGAAAGAAAAATCAAACCTTTAGAATGAATTATTATTATTATTATTATTTTACCTCAGGAGTAATGGTGTAAGGAAAAACTGTTCGGGCTCGAAGCTCAGTGGCAACAATGTTCCAATCTTTGGTTCCATGACGGAGAATGGCCCCACCAAGGAGGAGCTCCTCCCAGGTGCCCCACCTCTTCATCATCTCTGCTCCCATCGCCCTTCACATCTAACAATCTTTCCTTAATGATATCCTATGCACCCAAAAAATCTTGCTTTTGTTATAAAAAAAACCACCATGTTTTGTGGTAAGAAAGAAATCAGAAAAGATTGAACAAAGATGACTTGAGAGAGTGAAAAAAACTTATTTCAAAGATGTGGGTATGGAGGGAGAATGCAACGGAGGAAATTTTCTGACAAAAATTGGGGAAATTGTGGTTTTGTGAAATGTTTTGTTTGTTTTGGAAGAGGGGTGGTTTGGTTGGGTAAAAGAATGTAAATTTAGTTAACAGGGTATGCGTGAGATGAGGGGCTGAGAGATTCTAATTGTTGCTCACAGAAAGGTTTGAAATTTGAAGTTAGAATATCTCAGATGCAATTACAATAACATCATAAACAAATACAGAAGAAAATAATGGATGATGAAAATTTTGGCAGTTGTATTTTTCTAATTATGCTCCTCTCTTTCTCTCTCTACTGCTATTTTCTTTTTCTCTCCACAACTTTCTCTGTATTCTTCAATTAATGAATTTGCTAATTTGATTGTTTTGGAATATTGCAAGTTTATTTAGAGCATATAAGTCTAAATTTAGAACGTGACGTTGAACAAGTTGTGGACTCACTCACTCGTGCTTTTGGATTTGTCCATTTTCCTCTGCAAATGCTTTGGTTTAGTTGTCTGTTGCTATGTTTTGCTACATCATGACATTTTGTTTTCTCGTGGTTGGTACTTGGTACGTGTCATGATTGTGTCATATTGAGATTGAAGATGGTGAAAGTTCGTTCTGATTATGTTTTTATAAGGAAAAAAAAAACTTTTTTTTTCACCTTTAATGAATTTTTTATGAAAGTTCACATATCCCATGGATCAATACGAGTAACTTGTAAAATGCATTGATAAAAATGAATTATAATATCCTATGGATCAATGCGAATTACACCACATATTATTATACGTTGGAATTTACCCCTACAGAACACAGTGTTCAATTTTTCATTTTTCCAATGACCACAACACTAGAAATCTTTTTGACCAACAAATAAAATGAAATAAACATAATTGTCAATCACTATCAAGCGTAAAATGAAGCCCACTTGCCTAACCAAAAAATGTCAATTAGGTTCATAGGTTATTATTTTAGTTATTTAGATATTTTTTTAATGCAATCTTTCTGTACATTTTCTATAACTAACAAGTAATAGCAAGTAATAATATGGATTTTGAAATGTGGTGAAAAAAATACTCCACAAAGTATTTATTTAATATACTTTCAATGCATTTTTTTATAAGATCAATCGATAAGTATAATTTTAAAAATATATTGTATTATTTTATAGAAAAAAATAGTAGTTTTATTTTACATCATAAGATAACACTAGATTGTTTATGGTGGACAATAAATTAAGCATGGTGGATTTGATTATAACATGATAATCCTGGAGGAGAACACGGTAGCCACTTTAACAAAAGAAGCTGGAGCAGTTTGAACAAAAAAATGAAACTCCATTTCATTGAACATAGAACATGACATATACATAGAAATATCCATGACGACTACTACTACTACTACTACTACATACATCTGATAGTCACTATTATATGCAGTGACACCAAGGTGTGCACCAAACCCCAGTTTGGGTCAGTATCACTACTACTGGCAGTAACCAGAAAACAAATTAAGGAAAAAAAAAAAATACGTACAAGCAATAGCCAAGATCAGTGAAGTTACGGACACAAGCCTTCACAAACAACTGTTGGAAGACCAAGATCCTCAGATGGCTGCTTCCAGCTTCAAGTATCTTAACAAGAGGTAAAACAACTTTGTTCCAAATGTCATTAGATATAATACTCTTCCATCAACAAAGCCGATGATGACAGCTAATAGCGCAAATCATCAAGACAAAATTGTAGGCTATGATCACAATAACCCAACATGAAACCTTCAAGTTTTAAAAGCACAGTCCTGCCTCAAAGCACATTGAGATATGTCACTCCTTCACAACTATTTGGCATAAAGTTCATACAACATCTTCAGTTAGGACTGCTGAAGAACAAGATTTAACTCTAGGGCAGACCTGGCTAATAAACCACCCCTCCTGCAGCAAAAAAGAAAATGAAACTGTGATTCTTGGTTTCTGAACCTACATGTAAATTAGGTGCCAGTGAAGGTTACATTACACGGTATTAAAAATACTAATGAGTATCATGTTACTCAATTCAATCGGATCCTCCCCACATTCCTCACCAAAGAAAAGAGACCAAAAATGATGAATACCATGGGATGTAAATAAACTGTTAATAAGTTAATAATATTTATTTAGAAAAACTAAGAGATTTATGCTTCATAAAAAACAGAAACATGAATAATCTGCCAAAAAGGGAAACAAACAAACGCAATGTTGTGATATCCCTTTTACTACTTCAATTTATAGTCTTCTCTCACTATAAGAACGTTATTTACGGTGTCAATTGAATGTTCAAAATTCTGATATAGAGACCAGCAAGTGTACTGTTTTCAATTTACATATTTGTCAGGCAACATTAAAAACTGCATGATTACCGTATCAGTATTGGAAGGATCATTTGGATTTTTTGCAGTTCCATAAAGCACTGGTTGCAGCATTCTCGCCTGTCCTCAAGATTTCATACAAGTTAGCTTCATTCACATATAATATACATAATAAAGTGAAAAGAATAATATGTGAAATGGAGCTCACCTTTCCTCTTGATGCAGATCAACACCAACAGAGGGAGGTGCCGAAACAGTTGCACGTATTGTTGGACCAAAAACTGCTACAAGCTTTAACAGCATATCCAGTGACACCTTGGCATGTCTGCACAGTGAGAACAGAGTTAAAAAATGAAAAGAGCAATAGGCCCTGTGTTCGAATCCCACCATAAGTTTTCAAAACAATATACTAATAAACAATTACCTTTCTATCTTGCTATCCAGCAAGCCTGCGAGCACAGGAAGTAAGCAAGAAAATAAATCCATGGTGAAAATCTCCATCTTTTCCACAAGGACACTGATAACATCTGCTTGAACCTGCATCAGAACAAAATTATTTTCAGGATTGTGTATTCGATAAGAAAACCACAACTTTCTATTTCTAGTTAGAGTACAAAACACCACAAAAAATAAGCCTACAAGTGGCATAGCACTAGTCATATATACGCACAGATTGATCTGGCAGCTTTCTCAAAGCATTGGTAGCACCTTTAATATCATTGCGTTCCCAAAAATGCCGCACCACCTGCAAAAATACATAGTACCCATGTAACAGTCAGTGACGTTAATTAAAAAATGTTTCTAGTTTTTATCATTTTCTTTCTTTAGCCCTGTTCTTTAGCAGACAATAATAGAGTTGCACATCAGCGTTACAGCATAAGGCCTAACACTGTCATAAATTCCACATTTAAGAATAATACAGACTGAAACATTGAGTATATTAATAAATAAAGACCAATGATTAATAATATTAATAACTAGCAAAATTTACCTGTAGCTTTGTCAAGCGTGAGCGAAGATTACTTAATGTTACATCATGAGTTTGCATCAAACCTTCAATGATTTCCTCTTCATTTGCAGAGTTTGAATCCCCTATAGAAATTTGAGGCTCAACTTTCTGCAATATTAATAATAGGATAAACACTAGTCATTTGTGAAAATGAGTGCATGATTAAGTTATCTTTCACATTAATTCAAGGATTATGAAATTTCATTTCTTAGTAAATTATTGAAGAAAATAGACAGTGAATTTTAGAGAAATTAAAATAGAAAGAAGTGCAATGACACTTGATCAATGATCCATATTCGAACAGGGATGCATTCAGATTGTGGTTTAAGAGAAAAGATCAAGAAACTAACTCCTATACATACAATAACATGTATAAATATGTCCGATCCTGTTTAAATAGATAATAGTTTTTTCATAAGATATTTATTTCCTCTAAACCAACTTAAGCAATTACATTTAATCTATAGTTATTTCAGATCCGCAACTATAGAATACTCTAATTGAATACTGGGAAACATACCATTTAAACTAAATTTCGATCTGGATGCCAGAAAGAGCTTGCTTGTTACTGAAGCTTGGTGGGTCTAATTTGTATTCTTTACTTTATTTTACCAAGTCTGGGTTTTTAGCTTTACTGAACTAAGAAAGAAGAAAAACCTGATAACATCTGCTCAATAAAAACTGAGAAACCAAGACTTAAAAGAGTAAAATATGGATTTCCTCATATAGTGATAAATTACATATTTCAAAACTTAAACACCGAAAAAAAGCCACAAATACACATATCAAAATTATCAACCATATCAAAATTTCAATTGAATAGCTTCTGGCTTAAAAGTATAAAAACTTGACCTACCAACTTCATATAACAAACACAAGTTTCACCTAAAAAAATAAACTAGAAGCTACAGTGAAGATGCTCAGATGCTAGTATCAAAACTTCTACCGAGTGAAGATAGAATTTTACCAGTGTGTTAGGAGATTTATTGGTTTCGGATAGTGTCGTCTTGGGAATGGAGGGCAGATTGTTTCTATCTTCAACTAAGGGAATTCTTTCTTTCTTCTCACATACTTTAGTGATTGTGGGAGATGCTTTAGCTTGATCTTCATTATGAACTTTTTCTACAGTTTCATTTATTGTGGGGAGGAATACATTAGTTTGATCTTCATCAATCTGAATCCTTTCCCTTCTTTCAAACCTCTCAACCAATGACCGGGTCCTTCCTCGTACAACAGCAACTGCCATAGTAAGCCATAAAAAATTCAATTTCCAGTGGCTTTTATAAAATATAAAATTGCAAATAAGAGATTGCAAACCTCCATTGACGTATTTAACTGGATTATTTTCTTCCTTTTGAGGTGAGGATTCATCACCTTGAAGTATAATAAGAATGTTAGTTGTAAACTCAAAAGATTCAACGTCAATCATAAATAATAAGGAAAATTATGCATAACATCTCTATTCGAGTGACCTTATACATACAAGTTCGGCTCTTTTACTAAAGCAGAACCAAAACCTTAACAAGCTACTTGTCAGAGTATCTGCCTGTTCACATCCCTAAAAAGAGCTTATCTGTCAAGAGTCTTGGCCAATAGTTTACTCATTGTTTTTCAAAGGAAGTATAAGTTGGAAATCAAAGGCAAACTTTACGCCAGATAATTTCATAACATCTGGATAGATTTAAAAGCAATGGTCAAATGTAAATATTTGCAAGTATGATGAAGGGCAAGAAACAAATTATGATCAGAAATTAGCTTTTCTTGAGAGGATTAAGTAAGTATGTGGCATCAACTAATAATATAGACTGGGATTAAAGGAGAAAAAACAGTAATTCAACCAATGAGAGCTTAAATAGTTGAGGCTCATGAAGCTAACAATCTACACATGATATAATTGAGGCAAGTTATTTATAGCAGCGGAAAATTAATCCTGATAAAGGATAGTAAGAAAATATGATAGGGAACTATAAAATTGGCAATTGATCTTCTCAGAGTTGATAAAAAAACTTACATTTTATTTGGTCAGAAAATCTACTCGGAGATAGAATCTTGTCAAACTTGTCTGTAACACTCTTGATAGGATGTTTATCTTCACAAGATTCTTTGACTTCATTATGAGGTCCTAGATTTGTTTGGAACTTGGGTTCTTTTGTGCCATCTAACTTAGCCGCAGGATCACAAAAAGTTCCAGAATTCAGATCTTCTGAAAACCTATCAACATCAAATCTGCCAGTGGATGCTCTCCGTACATGAGCTGGTTTGAGTAACATTCCCGGTTTTGTCTTTGAAAAGGTGATGGTCTCTTTTTCAGGTTTTGCAGAGACCTTACCCTCAGGGATATCCCGAGGTACAATGTTTGGTACAATGAAAGATTTTCTAATTGCTTGTTCATTTGATTTTACACGAACTCCTGTCGCAGGACTCTGCTTCATTGTTCCCAAGTTGCAAATTTCCTTGAATTCCTCTGGGAGATCTATTTTAGCGGAACTTAAAGACCCTGATCTCTGTAAAGTAACAGGTTTCCCTCCAGAAGCTTTATATGGAAGAAGAGAATATCATTTTGTTAGATACACAATTGGCAAAATGATCAGATTTATAATACATAGACACCGGAACTTTGCAAGTATTTATTCATGTATCCTGATTCATCATGTCAATAAATTCACTAGATGTTAGCATGTAATATTAAATTTGGTTTAAGTCACTTCAGCAAAGCTAAGCACAAACACTCTTGGCTAAAACAACCCCTTGATGCAATGGGAGTATCCTGCAATTAATCTGCTAGATTTACTATACAGTGCAGACTCTTGCAATGTCAATGTCAAATGTTTAAGAATCTTGACAAGTCCAAATCTAAACATAAGTTAATCAAAATTATTGAGGATGGAAAGATAAAGCAGTTAAAGAGCAGTAATTCGGTATGTGTTGGGTTTATCAAGTTAACCAATGCCAATAGGAAATATCTGTGTTGGCAAAGCATTAAAATACAGAAAAACTATGAGGCAAAAACAGTGCAACTTATGATACTGAGTTTCAATTTTCAAAGAGTAACTAAGGAAAGACAAGAAAAAGCAGAGGCTTACAGTCAATATATATATTCTTTATCTCTTTTGACTCATCAGGAGACATGCTGCGCAACCCAGAGGTTGGTCCTTCATTAACTTCTACTTTCTCTAGTTTACTTCTCTGAAGATCAAGTTTTTGTTCTGTGCCTTCATTTTTTTGGGGATCCAAGCCAGCACCATATGGCTCAATAAGCTGAAATGGTGAAACTACCAGTCAGAAGTTGGTCAACAGAAAATAAAGAGAACAAATCTATCTCAAAATATGTTTCATTCACAGATTAAATGTCAAGTATTTACTATCAACAAATAAGTATATAAAATCAATCACTAAACTAGTAACCAATATAATAATGAGCAATGCTAGAAAAAAAATTATTATCAAGCAAAACTGGAGTGTTGTTGCACTATATACATCATTAAATGTGCTGAAGTTCTGTTTTCCAGTCTATTAAATTCTTCCCCAATTTCAGTATTGCATAAGCAGGGCAGAAGTGATGGCATCACACAACCTTGCAAGTACAAATTTGCAATCATAATAGAACTAAATCTATATTATAACAGACAGATCATGTTTCTAAATTAAATGGTAAAAAAAAAAAAAAAAAACAATGAAGATTGATAAAATAGTGGGTCCTACCGATATATCTGCTACCCAGACTCCAACAGAATTTCGGTAGAATGAGCATCCCAAAAGTTTCCCATCATGAATACAAAGATCACCAAGTGTTGTCCATCCCATATCAACAGTATCATGACATATAACAGGTTCCCATGAATACACCTACACAATACTCGGTATTACAATTGACATCTTTAATCAGTTCAATATGCTACATTATTAATTGTATAATCTAAAAAATTGCAATCTTTTTACCTTCAAACCATCTTCATGTCCAGTAAATAGGGTCCTTCCATCAGGATGAAAAGCTATTGAGCGTACCCCAGAAGCCTTATAAAAGCAATATAGTATAGTAATATAATTAAAAGTGACATAATTATACTTATCAAAGAAAACACAGTAATTTACACTTATAATATAAATTTTAGTGTGCTGCACATATGCTTGTATTTGGCAGATTGTGGACAGTTAGACATACTTTAAAATTTTGAAGGCAATAAGTTTGATGCATATAAGTTACTATGTAGAACAAAAGAACATTTTAGGCATCTATAACTTACTATTAAGACAAGATACACTATAAGGTTGCAGGAAAAATGTTAACCGAACCAAATGCAGAAAATGAAGTGATGTTCTTGCCCATAACTACATTAATAAATTTTCACCAAAAACTCATCTGCAACTAACAACAATGTGATGATGACAAACTGGAAAGAAGTGTCAAGAATACTGATTCAGCATAAGTTGAAAAAGAGTTAACATGAAAGCTAGTACTTAATTTAGTACAAAACTTGTCAAGAGATTTTGTGAAAGAAATACAAAACAGACAGGCATGCAAGCACAAACTACGGCATAAATAAATATAACTGTTTCCTTTGAGAAATTTTAGATACCTCACGTCTGGCAGATCCAATCAGCTCAAAGGTTTCTAAATCCCAGAATTTCACTGTTCTATCAGCAGAACCTGCAAAATGGTTTGTAAATTTCAGTAACTGCTTTTTCATTAGCTTAGATATTAGGCATGAGCCAGACCTAACGTAATCCCAGAAGTTAGCTCAAGAGGGGAGGATTACACAAGCCTTATAATGATTTACTTTAGCTATATTGCTACCCAATATGTGACATTTTAACATGATATTTATACAAACAATAAGTTTGTAGAAATTTTGGCAGTAGGAAAGACCAACTATTATCGAACACACTACAATTAACACTTAGCAAAACCATAAAACACATTGCACAGCCCCAAGGCCAAGAGAAACATGTGATAATATCTGAATATTATGTATTATTTTAATTTTTCATGTATAAATAGGCTTTAATACACTGCATGATATAATATGTTAGTTTAGAAGAGAGACTAATTATTAACTGATAATCCAAGGATTTGGTAAGATCATCAATAACATAGATGAGGAAGTTTCATGGTTTGAATCTCCTATATTTACAATCTCTCATTAAAATTAAATAAAAGACTTAAAGAAGGAAAGAAATATACTTTCCTTGTTTTTTTAGCGATTGCAAATTAAGATAAATTGTATATTAATATGAAATGCTGGAAGATCAGTCCACTATTTAGTGAGGGGCTCAATAAAATTAGTATAAACATGAAGAGTAGACTAAGAAGGATTATAGATTTTATATGTGTATCTACCAATCCAATAAAAGCAGTGATTATTATGAAGCAAAAAATCCTTCTATTGATATTCCCACTCCCAGTACATAAACATCTACTACTCTTAAATGCTTCAACTGTTAAAAAATGTCACTAAATCACCTGTAGCCAGAAGAAACTCAAGCGGATGGAAATCTATAGACCTAATGGGTCCTTCGTGGAACTTGAAGTCATGCAAGAGCTTTCCAGCTGTTAGATCCCACACCTATACAATTAAGCAAGACAGATTCAAGATGTATTGATATAAAAATTGTGTGAGTTAAAATCTATTACATGATAGAGTATCATGGATCTAAGAATGCCCATATTCTTACCTTCACAACATTATCTAATCCTCCAGAAACAACCCATCGGCCATCTGGAGTAAACTTGATAGTACTGATGCCCTGGCTATGACCCTTGTACGTATGAATACATCCTTTTTTTCTGATGTCCCAAATCTTTAGATTAGTGTCCATGGAGCCAGATGCAAAAAATTCACCAAAGGGATGAAACTCAATAGCAGTACAATTGGATCTGTGTCCAGCAACAGTGCGAACCACTATACTTCAAGAACAATAAGAAATATATTAGAAGTGTTACTAACAAATTCTCAAAAAGCAGGATCATATACGGTAACCAAGAACTGAAAAATGCTGTAAGATTTCAAACTTAGAGTAGTAGCAGTTAGGGATTCCCTTATAAAGTTGTGCAAGCAAGGTAGATAGCCAAACTGTCAAATTCATTTCTTTAGTCAAGTATTTATTTATGATCACCCAGTTTTCATTTCTCTAGTTTATATTCGAATGCTCCAACAATAAACACCATTCTAGATTGTAATATTAGTTTAAGTTCATCATGGTGAAGTGGACTAATTGACTTACTCTTTGCTTCTTCTAAATCCCAAAGCTTTATCACACCTGTCGATGCTCCACCAAGAACTAACACTTCTCCTGAGTCAAATGCGACAGATTCAACTGAACTAGTATGACCAGATAAGCTCTGCATATATTTACAGTAAGTCAAGCATTGTTAGGTCACATTTACACATATGCCACCTGGCATTACTTCCATCAAAAGAAAGTCACACACAACTCATAACGAAGAATCCAATCAGGAAAACTATTACAGATGATATATTATTATGATCTGACTATGGTAGTAAATCCCAGTTTCGCAGTATCCTCCCTATAGTGGCAGTGCCAAAAATGTGAAACAGATAAGTAAGGAAAACAAAATAAAAATTGTAAAGCGAGTAGGGGAGATTAGAAATAGACCCTCCATTAAAGTGGCCTAGCCAATGATCTAGCAGAGATATCCCAATCAGAATGCTACAAAAACAGAGCCAGCAATGGCACTGACCGTTATAGAAGTTGGCTTGCCAATTGTCCACAGATTGACCTTGTGATCATCACCTCCAGTAATGAAAAGACGGCATGCCTTCTTTCCAATATTTAAACAATTGACGCTTGATGAATGAGCCACAAATTCCTCTACAGTTTATTGGCTTAGGAATTCACATTATCAAATACACCAATACAGTCAACAATACAGAGAACCAGAATGAACAAGTAAATAAATAAATCAAGACCCCACAAATTAAAAATCACCCTTTAAGCTAAACCAGGAAATTTCGTATCTTTCAACATCATCTGATTTCCAAAAGATCAGAGAGAGAGAGAGAGAAAATGCGGAATATTTCAAACAATTTAATGAAAAAAAAAAAAAAGTGCGGGTGAGGGGTAAAAGAAAACCTTGAAATTGAAAGTTCCCGTTAACTTCTGCAGCAACTTCAACGCAACGATACGGAACAAAAATGTAAAGAGCTTGAAACTTTTTATAATAACTTCCAAAACTAGCATCACTTCTTTTTTCCCCAGAAAACAAACACACCAAATCCCACCTTGCACTCTCCCAAAACATAAAAGCCAAAAAGTAAAAAAAAAATAAAACCCTTTGAAGCTGCAAAGAAACACCTAACCTAGATTTCAATAGAAACTCAGCTACCAGCAACCAGTTTTTTTTTTTTTTGAAAAAAAAAAACATTTCTAGGTAACCATTTCTCTCGCTGAACACGTTTATTTATTTTCTAAAGAAAGGATACGTATTTTGTATCCGCGCTTTGCCATTTTTTGTTGGGCACCTCAGAAACCAGCTTCTGAAGCTGAAATGAGGTTCCTTTCTTAAGTAACGAAGCAATTCAAAACTTGGGTCTACTCCAAAGATGGCTCCCCTGCTGCTGCCACCATTCGACCACGATTCACAGCATAAAGAAGAAGAGATTCTTCGGCGGGTGGAAATGGAAATCCGAAGCGGAAGATAGGAATTGGATTAGATGTGTCAGATGAGAACTGGTCTGAGAACAATAATAATAAAAGAAGAAAAAGAAGAAGAAGAATTCAGATTCAACAGTGAGAAATGAGAACGGGAATGAAAATTATGGCCAGGAATTTCTTTTTCTCAATAATAAATACTTTCCTTTCCCTTTGCTTTTTTTGAAATATTTAATTATTTTATTTATTTGTTTTCTCAGAAATTCATTAATTATGTGTGGAATAACCAGCAAAGAAAGACGCGTTTGTTTAGTGTTGCAGTAAGAAAAAAAAATTAAGTGTGGCTTGACAGCAAAGATCTTGAGTTAAATTTTTATTTTTGTTACGTTCATTTAAAATATATATTTAATGAACCAAAGTTTTTCAGTTATTGTTTTATCTCAAAAATATTTGCTTTCTTTTCAGGAATAAAATTATAAATATTAAATTATTTATAAAAAAATTCAAAAAAACGTACTTTCTTTTCATGGCTACTGTTCCCTCTCTTCGGACTCAAATGCCCTCCACACCTTGCTGTTGTACTTGCGAAATTACGTAAAAAGCCCTTCTTTTTGTTGCTGATGTGTCACCACTTTTCACACAGCTTTTAATTTATTTAATTTTTTAAAAAAGTATATAATATTTGAGGTATCGATTAATTACTTCTTAATAATAATATATTTGCTTTTATGTGGGGTAAGAATTGCTTGGTGACAGTGGTTTTATTCTATTTTGATGTTTCTTGGACGTTTATGTCTGCACAAAATAAATCCATAATATTTATTTATCATAAAATTAAAATAATAAAGGTGAAGGATATTTACAAATACTTTTCGTTCTATTCTATGGCTACCAAATTTATTGAGTAATTTAACTAACAATTGAAGAAGAAGCAATTTGAAGAGAATAATAGAAGGCACGAAAATGACTTGCATAAAACGAGGGGAGATTCCTTATAACATAATCTTCCTTTCTTCATCTTTAATTTTTCATTATGTAGGGGAAAACTTACAACAACATGTCATGTTTCATTGTCATTCAATAATATGGATGGCCACATAACAACTACATTAAAAACAGTTAGTTAAGAACATCAACTCTATACACTCAAATCTCCATACTCTATAACCTCTATATAAAACTTAATACATTTTTTTTAAACAATAAATGCTAATAATTTATTCACCATTCATTTTAAAAATTGAAATGTTTGAAGTCTCCTAATTAATGCAATTGCTGTGAAAAAAATTAATATTTGTGGTTTTCAAAAATTTTCACTGTACTCTTATAATTTACTTTACATATGAAATTAATTTAGTTTGGTTCTTGATTTAATACTAATTAGTAATAAAATTATTAATAATCTTACGTCTCCTTAACACAAAGCAAGGAACTGTTTGTGTTTGATTTCCTATGACTAACAGTAAATTCTTTTAGATCAAATGTTTCTTTCAATGAATTCTTTTTTTTTTTTTTCATTCCAATCGACATTTATTTGAGGCAGTGAAGTGGGCCAATTTTCACAGGCTAAAGTTTAATTGCATGTGAGTAGTTGAATTTAGTGATACCAAAAATCGCAATTGGTCAATCATGATTCTACACATTTTTATCCTCAAAACGTTGGTAACTAAAAACATATTAACGGGTTTTCCCTACCTATGTAAGTGTATGTTTAAACATAAGTTGAATTCCATTAAACCCACGTTCTATATTTATGCATCAAAAAGTGGAAGTTTTCATTCAATTTGGACCTAAAACAGTTTCCAAACACACCACGTATCTTAAAGTTCTGAACTGAATTAAAAACCTTAAGATGTACGGAGTAAACACGCAATTATTCACCACTTCAAAAAAAAAAAAAATACTGTACTTCAATCAAAATCATGATGTTGGAAACAAAATCAAATATCTACGAACCATTTGCGTAGATCAACTTAAATATGAATCTGTAATCCATAATCTATATTCAAACCTTATAATTTTGACATCTAAAACGTGAATATAGTACTCTAAACAGTAAACTTAACCTACAAATGAAATGTGTGTGCCTCGTTGTCATGGTTTCCTTGATCTCCCTCTATGATTGCCTTTAGAAGGTGGCCAAAATTATTAGTACATGAAGTTTGTGACCAAATTATAAAAGGAAACACCCGAAAGAAAAAAGGTTACCACGCTCGATTTCTCACTTGTATGATGTGGGGTTCAACTCTTGAACGTTCAATTGGTGAAATGTTTTTTCATGTGCAAGGCAGCAAGAGAATGTTTTCGCAAACACCACATTCACTGAACACAGGAGTGTCTCTTGCAGCACGAGAATCATACCCATCATCACCCATAAATAAATTGTGAGTAAGAAAAAGGGAATCATTGACTAAGCGTCACCACCACACACTCATGTCTGCTCCAACACATCATACCTTATTTTTCCAAAACAAATTTCAGCTAACACACGTTAAGTTCATAACTATTTTTATGAAATATGGCATAGACAGAAGATATCATAAGATTATATAAACCTCATATATTTAACCAAATTAATATATATATAACGTCGCATTCGTCTTTTTGAATGTATAAAAATGGCGAGAAACACAAATCCGTCAAAGGAAACAATTCATAGTACGTTTTTGTTACGATGTTAGGATACTTTTGTGAACTTGTTTTTCACGATTCTTTTCTCGTCTTGTGTAGTTGTGTACCCTGTCGCCCACGTTACAAAGAGTACTAAAAAAAGATATAGTTAGACGCTATTTCGTATTTTTTTTAAACATTTTAGTTTTGTTTTCTCGGAAAGCAATCCAATAAATAAAAATCTCCAAAGGAGGATTTTTGTGAAATGTGACCCACTGAGAGGCAGACACAGACAGGAACAAGAACACAGAATCCTGGGAAGTCGTGAGCTTAAATCGAAGTGTGTGTTCAGGTTCTATTTTTTTCATACTAATTATTTTCTATATTTACAATTAATGAAATTAAATAACGGAAGAGAAAAATCGTCGTACAACCCCTGGCACCGTCATGTTGTCGTTTGCCTCTTTTTTAAAAATTTTGATGCAGTCGTTATCGATGTCAGCAACTTTCACCTCCTTAGTCCATTGTATTCGGCTTTTACCTTTTTTTCTCTTTTATTTTTAGACGACCCAACACAAAACGACAAGGAAAATAATGCATCTAAAGGTGTTAGAACATGACAACCATGATGACCATGTGCACCTCCTTAGAAGTAGAACCACGGTGCAGCGTTTAGCCCATCAGGCCCATGGTAAAACATTATTTTGCATAATACGTTACAATACTTCTTTTATTTTTTCACATAATTTTTTATATCTCGGGTTTACAAATTTTTTAACCTTAACGTCAAAAATAGAGATTCTGACATATTCTTATAAAATATATTATTTATTAAAATAGTTCTTACTAAAATTCAGTCTTTTGTAAATTTTAAGTATTACTTTTATTTTAATTTTGTAACATTATTAATGCATTAATTATGCTGTGGGTGAATTTTATGAGCTATAATTATGTCTATAATTTTCCTTGGTCCACCTATGATATTACATCACCCAAAAAACAATCAATTTATTTTTTTCCTAAGTAAATGATATAGTTGCGGCACATAACTTGAAAATTTTGACACTTCCGACTTGGTACAACAAGAAAATAATGACACTTTATTTTCACTACTCATTATCATTTTTACTATCATGCTCTCACGAAGTTTAATAAATAAATAAATAACTAGTCTAATGTGAACAATTAAATAAGAATTATTTTCATAGATGAGACATTGTACATGGTCTATTTGGGAAATTTTAATGAAGTTAAAAAATTGGATCCAAAAAAATCATGTTTACATCTTCTAATAACTAAACTAACAAAAAAAAATATGAACACTATTCTAACATATATATATATAATCTATTTTGCTACAAATAGTGAAAAGGATAGAAGGTTCAAGCACCCACCCGTTTAAAGTAATTTGACGTTGTGTTTTCTAACGTTAAAACAATAATTCAAAAACTTTTATAACAATTAAACGAGTTAAAAGAAACCTTTAAGAAGCTTTGTCAATAAGTTTCTTCAAAGCTAAAACCTAGTTTCTTTGAAGACACTTCCAAATCATAGTATCACTTCCTTTAAAATTCAACCAATTCATCCTTATTTAACGCCGTAACGCATTGAGTTAAAAGTTAGGTCAATTTGGAATTCCTAAAAAAGGTGTATGAACTTTTCTCAGAGACAGAAAAAAAAAATCATTTAAATACACTCATGTAATAACAAATTATAAAATATGACAAAAAAATATAATAACTATTTAAGAGACATGTCTAACCCCATTTAAAAAACTTATTTTCAACGCAACACTTACACAATATTTTTGTTTCGTAAATTTAGTGACTGAACTTGGTTTTGCGCTCTTAAAAAGCTCGTCCAAATCCAATGTTGCTCCTAAGTAATCAAAGTAGGTCAAGTTCGAGAATATCAGTGTAAACCTCAACTTAGATTCGCTACCAACAAAATGAAAAAGATTTTGCACCAATGCAGCATCTCTTAAAGGGTGTCAATTTTGAAGGTTCATGCTTTACAAATGATACATAAGCCTAAAATCATAGTGTCTACAACAACGTCGACAAGGATGGATCACACTTTCGTGAATCTGAACCCATAACATGCTACAATATTAACATAATCCATAACTCACAATTACATTAGTAAGCAGATTCTGCACACTCGAGGTAAAAATCTTCGGCTCACAAAATTAATAAAGAAAAATAGCAAGATCTAGGAACCAAAGCTTATCTTCAGCACCACTTCCTGTCCATGGGAGTTCATCTTCTCACAGATTGCTACATTTTCTTTTACATCATTCGCAAGAGATCTTGAACAATTTCTGACATTGCAGGTCGGAATTCAGGTTCACGCTGTAAGAAATAAAATATTAATCTTTATATAGATAATAAATGACAGACAATAAAAAAAATTATAAACTTATAATTCTTTTCTTTTTTTTCGTTATATTCCTTCTTTTTCCCTTAAAAATGATGAACATTGCGACATTCAAATGGTGGTGTCTAATATCTTAGCCATGATGTTACTAAGTATGCATTGGCTATATGCTTTGCAGTCACGGCACTGTTCCTTAAAAGCTAATGGTGACACTACACAAGAATTTAGCGACCATATTTTTCTAGCAACAAAGCAATGCATATTTTGATATTTGATCATTAAATATTACGTCTGTGCAATGCAGCCAGAAAACAAACTACAACTCGAAAATAACTTTCTCTAAAAGCATTATCACTCTTTCCTTCATTTAGGCTTTGGCAATGAATAGATAGTAGCACAGACATTTACCAACTATAATGCAATGAGGGTACTTCTACAGGTTTCTGTATCCAATACTGAATGAGTAGGTATAAGTAAGTCCGTGCAAAACTGTAAATTCACTCTTGTCAAATCATGTGCCTTTTTAAATGTTTTTGCTAACTTTGTGATTCCATTACTTTATTGTTGGTTTTTATAGAGTTCTGTATGACATCTCTACCCACTTATAGCCACATTCATGCAACTTAGATTACCTGTAGACATGAAGAAACAATATCTGCAAAGCGCGACAAGGACTTCATAGGATAGGTACCGCTTAAGCAGGGGTCAACCATTTTTGACAATGTATCAATGTCATGGAGTTGAGGGACAGCCCATCTAACCAAAAATTGCTCCGCACGAGGCCGGGACCTAAAATATTTGTGAAGCTTTAGCCAAATTCGATATTTTGAAGCAAGGCTTCTGTTAAGCAGGAAAAGATAATGAAGACAACTATCATAATTGCTAATGGGATTGCTCACTTGTCATGGGATTTTCGTCCAGTGAGGAGTTCTAGCATTACAACACCAAAACTGAAGACATCACTTTGCTGCGTATAACTTCCAGACTCGAATTCTGGAGCGCTGTAACCATAAGCTGTAAGGAGGCGTCCTGATAACTGAGATTAGACGCACCACTGTTAGACAGAAATTTAACCAAAACAGAAGACTAAACGTAAATTTTGGGTCTGTAACAGTAATTTTTGCCATTCTACTAACTTAAATCTCAAAATATGGAATATAATTTTCCGAAATTCAGAATACCAGGAGAATTGGGATTTTAGCCAATTAGTTATATATACAACAGAGTTTGTGGAACCACACCAATCACCCATTTGAGTTCTTAGTACCAAAGAATTTCTATATTCAAAATTTCCGAGCAACCATCATGGTTGTGCTGCATAGTGGTATAAACCGTAGGTCCTTTCATACTTAATAGGAAATTCCGTACCTTCATCTTTACTGGTTCTGAAAAGTAAAAACTAACTTCCCTCAAGTTCGGATAAAATATCTGATCATATGCTTTTTGCACTTACTGTTTACATATGAATTTAATTCTTTTACGCCATTAATTCCATAACATTCAATAGCACTCGCCTAAAAGCATTCAATATATATTAGTTGAAAATTTACAAAAGGAGAAATTAAAACTCAAGAGTTACCTGACCCGTAGAGCCAGAAGATAATAATGGCCCTAATCCACAATCAGAGACACACACTTCCAAATTGTCATTCAGAAGAATATTAGCAGACCTAAAATTTCGATGCACAATAGGTGGCCGAAAGTTCTCATGCAGATACCTTGTACATGAAAGAAATAAAACATCAGGGTTAAGGCTGTCATGAAAAAGGAAAATTCAACGCCTTTGCCTGTTGCTAATGGTCTAGAACATGACTGATTTATATTAAGAGGGACTCCATTATATGTTATACTGAAAGACCTTCCACAATTGTACCAAAGGCTAGTGTCAGTAAAATATTCTAGAATAACATTGATTTAAATATAAAAGCAACATTTCGCACCTCCAAAAGGTGTTACTCCGTCACCAATACAGAGTTCATCTACCTACACAAAAGTGGAATTAAATTTTGGTTTGGTCACTAAACTCACTCGACAGCTCTTGCAGCTCCAAGTGCCACCCGAATGCGTGCATTCCATGGAAGTTTGATTCGCTGATCATCATCCCCATGCAGTACATCATGTAGGGTCCTATTACTACAATACTCATATACAAGTAGTCGCTGGCTATGTTCAAGACAGTAGCCTACAAGCCTTGCAATATTTGCATGCTGAATATCTGAGATGATGGATACCAATTGAAGAAATTGCTCATGACTCTGCCCCATGGAAGCAGTAGCATCCAGTTTCCTCACTGCCAATAGCTATAAAAGAACAATTGAAAGATATAGGTAAGTGAAGCACCAGTTAGCACAAGTCAAGCCAGGAAATTTAGATAACAGGTCATCTCAAGCAAGGAAAATTAGAAGGTTGTGCCGAGATTCAAAATTGACAAACCAATATATTTATCATAATAAAGTATCAACCAGGGCAAAGTCCATGGTGTACCCACCCGGATGGTCACATCAATGCAACACTCAATATTAGCTGTTGGATTAGAACTATCTTAAATAGATAGCCATGAGTGAATAAATGCGTGTTTTAGTCACTGGCTGACTAGTAAGTGAAAGAATTTGTTTGTAAAATTTCTCCTGCACCAATATAAACTCTGCTTCACGACAATCATTGATCAAATCAGTGTTCATGAATTCCATTTCTGCAGGATGAAGCTGGCTGGACCACAATGGTTTTGTTGACCAAACAACCCAATCAGAACTTGTTTTTTTGATAGGTGGAAGAGTAGTTTGGAGAGTATTGGTTGGGTCCACATAGTAATAGAACATATCAATTGGTCTTGGACATTATTCAATATGATCGCAACATAGTGACAGACAAAATCTGAACAAACACAAGCAAGTTCTTGCTCTTCCAAAGAACCCAGGCCCCAGCATGACAAAGGGGAAAAACATAAGTTTTCCTATTGCTAGAAGAACAGGCTTAAATAGAACAAGAAATGCATTAATGAGTAGGGGTATAACCATGTTTGCGAGGCAATCAATACAAAAGAATGCAAAAATAGACATGTCATAAAACTATGGGAATCCTTCATGTATAGATAAAAACATACAAGCTGGAAGAACATTACCTTTCCATCAGGGAGTTCAGCCCGATAAACAGGCCCGAGTGTGCCTTCCCCAATACAATTTTCTCGGGAAAAGCTATTTGTATATTGTTGAAGCAACGCAACAGTATAAACTTCGATAGAATTTTTCATAACTTGTTTTCCAGTTTCTTTTGTAGTTATAGCTGGATTGATAGTGATCTTCTCACCACAAATGGTTGGGAAAGAGTGTTTTGGTGGTGGTTGCAGGGGTGAAAGTTTGGAACCCCCTCCATTGTTCATTGATTGATGACCATTATTCCATTCTGAAGTTGCAGATTGTACTTTCACATATATCTCTTGTTCATTCTGAACCTTAGGAATCAAATTTGCACTTCTATTTGGTACTTCACGTTTACCTTTCTCCTCTTGATTAGTTGCTTCAAAAACAGAATCACTGCATTTATGTTTATTCAAAGGACCCGCAAACACACCCACGTCATCAAGTTTCTCAGCATTTTTCTTCTCCGGCCTTCTCTTAATGCAGCACAACATTAAAAGACAAACTCCCAATACAATAAATATAAAAAGACCTGCACCAGCAATCCAGATGATGATCTTAGCTATAAAAGACTTCCTAGTCCTTGCAGGCACTGGTACTGTCAGGGCAGAAGGACCATATGCCACTTTCCAAGGTGATTCTTGGGGGGATGGAACCATAGCTGCGGGTGCAGGGGCCGCAAGAGGGGGTGATGGAATAATAGTAGTATTAAACGGATTCCCATTTTTACTGCACAGGACATGCTACTATGTTAACTAGAACATCTGGAAATCAGGTATTGAATTGACTTATCTCATAATAACATACTTAAATGGAATAAAAGAATCATAGTGCAACAGTTCAAGGTTTAATGCTATTTCTTATATTGTCACAAGTGAACCAGGGATTGAAAAACGGGACTTAGGCTAATAAATAAGACTACAAAACAGAACATGTCTCACCTGAAATTAGGGATAGACAACAATTTTGGAGGAATTGGTCCAGAGAATAAATTGTTCTCTATATCCCTACATAATCATATGAGCACAAGTAAAATATTTCTAGTTCTATGCATTGATGCAGTTGCAGGATATACAAAATATCCATTTATATATCTGAAGAAGTTTTTGGGTAGTCAGAATTGTACAGATCTTGAAGAGGCAGGTCTTGCAAAACATAGAGGGTCCCAGAAAGTTGATTATTTTGCAAGTGCCTGAAAGTGTAAAACGAATAAATGACAATAACAAATAACACCTCATTACAAGTAGGGAAATATAGTCTATTCACAGCAAGACATTTTACGCACAATGTGGTAAGCGATGATAAGCTCCCTGTTGAGGAAGGCAACTGACCACTCAAGTTGTTATTTGACAAGTCCCTGAAGCATGGCATAGGTTTCCATAAATTGTGCATGGAAATGGAATATATTAAAGACAGAGAAACGCCAGTGTGATTTTACACCATTTTCTGACATATTAATTGAACCAGTAAGCGGACGAAATGCATGTAGGATTTAACCATTGAAAAGGTTGCTTAATAATCTACGGGCAGCATTTATCTTCCGAAATGGACAAACATATTTTAAGAACTCACAAGTTTGACAACTGAGTTAATAAGGACAAGGCATCTGGAATGCTTCCATTTAACCGATTTCCTGATAGAGACCTAAATATGCAATAGAAACATATCGTGGTCAACTATTCTTGTACATATGCATCTATCACACATCACTTTCTAAAATAAAACAATAAAATCATGAATTTCAAGCTGATAATGACAACATACAAGCTCCTCAGAGTAGGGGGCAAAGTAAATGGAATAGGCCCTTCAATGTGGTTGTTGCTAAGATCCCTGTGCAATGGTGAAACAGAAAGCTTCATGAGGTTTTCTAGTACAAATACAATAATTACACAATTACTTGTCAATGGCTAAATTTTCCCAATTAATCTAAACAAAAATGACTCCTCCTATAAGCAGTAACTTTGGGCAAATAGGACCCTAGTGTACATAATTATAATGCAGTAACCAACCATTATTTATGTGCACTAGGCAGTATTCACAGTGGGCACAAGTATTTATGTGGCATAAATACTGCTGAATCGAGTAATTCTGAAAAACAAGAAATGTTTACATGCACAATCAGCACAGGTACAATTATCTTGAAAGGCACCACTTACAATTCTAAAATGGATGGGAAATTCAAATTGCTGCCCAGCTGTCCACCCAAATTCATGCCTCCGAGGTGTCTGTCAAATATAAATTCCACTGAGCCTTATCCCAGTTTTTCACATTCAGCATTATCAATCAAACAACTTATGCAACGCAACCCCAAATGTAACAATATCTTTTGGCATTTGAAACCAATTACCTAGAATATGAAAACAGTAACACAATTGTAACCAATAACAACTCAAGAGAAGGAGGATAGACATACATTGCAGTTATGTTGGAGAAGACACAAGCGACTCCTTGCCACAGTTCTAAACATGGATCTCCTCCCATGGATTTCCACCCTTGAAGTGGTGGTGACCCCAGAGAAACATATAGACTATTCATTGCAGCAACTGTAACCATGACACACCTTAAAACAGATTAGTGTGGATAACTTCTGCACTTAGAAGCAAAACTTTTTAACATGTACCCAAGTGAGATTAACCATCCAATTTTAATGAAGACAGACATGAATATGAAGAGAAAGCATTGTAGAATTTACTTTCCCCTAGGCAAACTCCAAACATGGTATGACAAAAAATAAAAAAGAATTGAAAGAGTTATAAGCAAAAATAACAAATAAAAAAAATTGAACTTCATTTACATATTTTCTTGCTATTTTTCTGTAGTTTTCTTGTACCTTCCCTAAGAAGTTAAGGGAGCATGATATTCATAAAATAGAAATAAAACTAGGAAATGAGAAGACTCTATTTGCAATACCATCAACCATGTCAGTATCTCCAACACAGAAAGCCCCTGCGAGAATCACCATGCAGGTGACAAAAAGCCCAACATGCAACTCCAATTTCATGCTGCCCATTTTCACAATGGAGTTAACTTCCAAGATTGAAGGCACAAAAGCTATATACTGAAGTTGGGGAAGCTCAAAACTGAAAACACACAACAGAACAAGACAAAGATAGAAACTTCCAGGAGAATCCGAGATAATTCTGAAAAGGAAATCAAACCCTTTTCAGAACAGAGGCAAAAATAAAGGGAAATGAAACTGGCAGGGGAAAATTAGCCAAAATAAAAGAAGGCTTTAGCGAGACATGGGAAAGAAGGAGACTTAGGAGAAGAGGAAAATGAAATACAAAAAGTGGGAAACCCTAAAAAGGTGGTTATTGGAGAAAGGAAGCAGTGTCATCCATAGCACACCAGTGTTCTACTGTGTAGTGTAGAGAGATACAGGCACTTTGTGTCACTCTTGCTTGGTTTCTTTTCTGTCTCTCTTCTCAAAAGCAGAGGCAAACAGAGCGCTTTTTGAGCCATCATTCAAAAATTGTTTTGCATATTTAATTTGTAACTAGGGGTCCACCATCCGAGTCGGACATAAAAGAATTTATGAGATTTCTGCTACGTTTGTTTGGACTTCGTGACTTCGTACAACGGTGAAATGAGGTGAAAAAAAGTGAGGAATTGTACTTTGTTCAAACAAAGTTTGCTAGCTTAGTTAAGTTCATAATTTGAATTTTCGTGTGGCAGTTTAAATCTTACTGATATAATAGCTATATTATGTATACTTAAGGAATATTCCCATATTCACCGTTTTTTAATCATCAATATTGTACAATATACACATTATACGCTAGAAACAAAAAAAACTTCAACTATCCGTTAAATATTAATTATGTGTTGATTTCTTTTTCCAATGATTAATTTAATTTATTAAATTAATTCAATTAATTGAGTTTTAGTTGTTGAATCAGAATGTGAAGACGTTTTTTTGTATTAATAAATTACCAGAGTTGAAATTTTAAACGTTTTGAGACAAAAGAAACATTCAAATAAGTAAGCTTGTTTCATATAATATATGAAACTATTGTTATTTTATAAATATGAAGTGGATTAAGAGTTAAGTTGTATTCATAGATATACTCTATGACACTGATCTTTCATTCTTTTATTATCCTTTGCTTTGAGAAAGGGTTTCATGGCAGTTTGATTTTACTTGTAACACAGAATAAGGAAGTTAAGTAAAAATTAGACCAGAAGAAACGAGATGGTTGATGCATGGTTGGTTTACTCAAAAGGGGAATAAATAATTTAGATTGTCTTAAGTGATGCACAAGAACAAATTATTTAACGTGAAGACTACATTTGCACCTAAAACCTCAGTTGTCTGGTATAAACTTTCAACGCCGTAAAGAAAGCATGCAGTTAATTATGGGAAACACCAAAGGGTCGTGAATGAGTACTACTACTGATTGATTTTGAGTTTTCAACTATAAGTTGTCAACTTTTACTTGGATGAAATGAAAGGATCCTATAATAATTTAGACTCTTTAAGATGTCATACAGTCATACCCTCTCGAATGTATTGCAATGGTTGCAAGTTTCTTTCAATCAAGAACAAGAATAAACTAGAAATTTGCTTGTGTGTTTTATCAAGTAATTGTAAGTTTGGTTTGCAACATTTCATACTTGCAAATATTAGATGAAACAATTTTGTCAAACGTTTACTTGGAATTACAATGTGATAATAAACATACCCAATGAATGGCCACCGGCTAGTTTAGTGTGATGATAATAGGTCATCATCACATCTTACACTATAACTTCATTAGTCCTTTGATTCTGCATTATTTATTTCTCCCTACTTGTATATTAGTGTAAGAGCGTTTCCTGTGTTAGAATTTGTTTCTTATATTTGTTCACAAAATATTTAATTGTTCAATTGGATTCGAAGAATCACAGAGACTTTGAGTTTTTTTGTTTTTTTTTTTTCAAATTTGTCTTAAGTGGATCTCATAGCTGTTTGGTGCATATGCTTAAAGTCAGGTATCGCTATCATTTTTTTTCTCAAAATTAAATAAATTTAGAGGTTTTAAATTGCGTCGTTATATGTTTGGTGGATGTTGCTGAATGATGACCGATTTGTAATTAGATGTTTAGAGTTAGAAGCATATGCCAAATAAGTCGTTATATGTCTCTGGATGGTGGGTCAGTGAGTCGGTTCACCAAAGCTGTATTATGAAGGATACTATGAGCAAATTCCCAAAAACAAAACCTATTTAAATTTTTATAATGTTCTCATTCTTAATTAACCTATTTTTGCATTTTGTTATTTGTGAATTCTCAATTATATGTATTGTTTGTTTATAATTAGCATAAAGTATTTGTTTGGAAGTTTTCAAGCACATTTCACAACAGAAATTCTTCTTAATTATTTGAACAAAATATAATTTTTTTTCTTCCTTCATCTCAGGGTCACTCTATTTTTATACCTATTTTTCTTTTCATTAAAGTGATGGATTTTCAAAAGTATATTTTGTATCAAATTACTTTCACAAAAACTAAACAATATAAACATTTCATGCTCAAATTCATATATAATTATATATATTTTTCTTTTAAAATAGATTACTTTAAAAAAAATCCATACTAAACTTCTTTCACAGATAAATATACATTTTATTTTAATTCCAAATGAATGATCCATTTGATTTTTTTTTTAAATCATATTAAAATATTTCAGATAAGAATTAACTGATCATCGATATTGATTTTAGATTAATAAAACTTGATACCATTTATAGATCATATATATAAAGACTTTTTTTTTCTTATCAAATACATTTTATTAAAGAGTCAAAAGTTTTTTATTTCACTAAAATAGGTTAAATAATGTGAGATGTGACGAGTTTTCATAATAAAATTTTCCTATATAACACAGTTTTAGTTTTTCTTTTCTTTAAAAACAAAGTGATTGATAACACTGAGTTTCAAGTAATTTATGATGAACTCGTGTGGATGGCACAAGTTCAATGTTTTTTTATTAAATATAATTTTTTTAAATTATATTGTTTCAATTATTTTTATTATTTTTATTAATCATATTATTATTTCAAATATATTATTACTATTATTATTAGTATTTTTTCCTGTTTTTTCGATTATTTTGTTAGGTTAATATTGTTATTATTAATATTTATTCCGTTAGTATCAAATTTTTCTGCCGTTTTTCATTTTTTTCATATTAATAATATTATTATTATTAATCATATTATTATTATTACTATTTTTATCTTATTTTTATGCTATTTTGTATTTTATTTTGTTAATATTGTTAATATTATTATTAATATTTATTTTGTTAATATTAATTTTTTCCTGTCCTTTTTTCATATTAATAATAATATTATTATTATTATTAAAAAATAAAATAAAAATCATATTTTATTTAATAAATAAATAAAACCCATACTAGATAACATGAGTAAATACAAATTAATTGAAACTCGAGTTACTAAACATGTTTAAAAAAAATTACATAACTAAAATTGTATTATAAAATGATTTTAGTTAAAATTATGCTTTCAAACATGAGTTCATGATAACTATGATAACTCAGTCTATCTCACATGAGTTAATCCATTTTAATAAAATTAAAAAGATTTACCCTTAAGTAAAATCAACATTTTTTTTATCCTAAAAAGACCCATATAAAACTTCAATATTGTTTTCATGTTTTTAATACATTTAATTATAATTAAAATTTTATTAATTTATTGAATATATAATTTAAAATAATATGATTATCTGAAAACCAATTTTATGATTTTAATTAAAAATATTATTCATTCCTTAATTCACCTCAAAATATATGTCATAGTCATAATCATACTTATCAAAATTTTGTATTTTAACATATGACAATAATAATATGGTAAACAGTATTTCATAAAAATTATATATATATATATATATATATATAGAATTACATACAATTATCTTAATTACATACATTAATTACATCAATAAAAGAATATTAAAGTTAATAATAGATTGTGTGTCATCAATATATAAAATTAGAAACAAAATTATTGACAACCAATTTATTGATAATTTTAAAATATTTTTATCGAAAAAAAGATAATAAAATAAGATAGATAAATAATAATATAAAAATTTAAAAAGTGGATGGTTGGATACATGTTCCGTAAAATTAATTCATGTGATTTAAGTGTGACAAAATAAATTAAGAAAAAAACGTTTATTTTTGCACATATATTATAGAAATAATCTCTTGAAATAGAGAATAAGGGAGTTCAAGTATGCAAGTTTATGGGCGGTGAAAATGACAAAGTATAAAGGACTATGAATTAAATACAATCATAAATTGCATTCCTCGTCTCTGGACGGTGTGAACGTGTTGTGTTCTTAACACCGAAGAACTCGTGTGTATTGCAAGTTCTGTAGGGGAAAATAATATTTTTTTTTCTGAGATTAGTGTTGAATAAAAGCATGCCAACATGGACGAATAAATGTTTTAAAAAATAAACTGGAAATTGATGTTCAAATATTTTGGTTACAAAATTTGAAAGAAAATACGTGAAGTAATAATCTCAGTTTCGTTTCCATTTTTCAAGTTTGAATCTACCCCAAGCAAATTCGAACGTTCAAACTATTCAGTTAGATGAACAGTTGAAGGCTCTGCATAATAGCAGTCTACTATACCATTCTTAAATTTTTGCTTAAACCAATGTTAACGCTTTGAGTGTGATGATTGCTTTTTGTATTATTAAAAAATTAATGCTAACACTCATCTTCACATTATGTTTACAAAACAGAATTAGCGGCGAGTGAAGTTTTTTTGCATTCTTTTTCTTCTGCATGCTGCATTATTCCACATGTTCTTAACATGCAGGGGGGAATGAAAAAACAGGTCTACCACGTGGGTGGCAGAAATACAGAAACTAAACGTCAATCATGGTTAGATCTAAGAGAAATCATTAGTTCAACACTAAATACAATTACATCACGTTACCTCCAATTAAATATAGCTTATATACATATACTTATCTTTAATTGGCTTAAGTTCTTTGGCTAAATCTAAACTGCAATAGTTTATCCTTGTCTGCATACTGGGGTTCATATTTCATGAGGTTTTCTACTGTCGTGCTGCTCATGCAGAAACGTAGGGTGGACCAAAAAATTAGACAGACATCACGTTGTTACACTACACACGAGTGATAAGACCCGGATCCGATTTATTTACATTTTACTTCGTTTTCATGTTTCCTATTTGACTCTCTTTTTTTTTTCAAACCTCCAACGTTTTCACTCGCCAGCGTCACGGGCGAACAGAGTATTAATTTCTCCAACGCTGATTATTTTGTTTCTTCATGTGGTTCTTCGTAGTACCATGTCGTGGTCCAACTTTTAAGACGTTATGATGAGGATCCTTGTAACATTTGTCATATAGTATTTCATGCAAGTGAATGTATGCATTGAAAGTGGACATAAAATGGCCCATGCGACCGAGGGATCCACCAATTTTGTTTTTTTATGTAACAAAAGGGTATAGAGCATAATTGCTACTATATCTTCCATTTGCAGGGTACCCCCATCACGCTAATGACACATTTGTCCCTGTTCTAGTTCCATTCCACTTCAGAATATCGTTGATGCGATTAATCAAAATCTCTCCACTAGATTATGCATCCATAGAAAAATAGTTCTTTTTTTTTTTTTAATAAGAACTGTGAGTTAGTGATCTTATTCCTCCTAAATTCTACCATAACAATGGATTGTTAATTTTTATCATGAATAATGTTTTTAATAAAACACTTACCGGAGGTATGTTTAATTAAGGAGACCAGTATAGTTCAAGCTAATGAAATTCCATTCTTCTATTTTATATGATGTTTTAATTTTATTTTTTTTACCATTGCAAAAACAAAAGGAATCTAAAACTTTTTTATAATATTAAACATTATGACACATGTTAAAAAAAATTAAATATGGATTTTATTATAACACGTTATTCTTTAACGAGCAACTCATGTTAGATATGCCTTAATATTTTGAATTTTGTAAAAATACTATATTATATTCTTATTAACTATTTTATTATTTCTTTGTTATTAAGAAAAATCTATCTGTAACTTCAGTCACCAACATTTTAATTGCTAGTTGAAAATTAAACTCCAATTTAATAATTGAGGATCTAATTTTTAATTAGTAGTTAAAATTAGAGATGAATCCTTTTTTTTTTGGCGAAACCGAGATAAAAAAAAAGTTTGTAACTTAATAATATTATAATTAATTTGTTTTTTCTTTAAATCAGTAGATATTGAATAAGTTTTTCAAAGAAACAATAGTTAATTTAGAGTTACTTTTTTGTAATAAACATCTAAAATGAAATTGAAGAAGTAATAATAAGGTTAATAAACAATTTTTATAATTGAATGATAGTGTAAAAGAGTATAGAAAATAGTTTTGGTTAATAAATAGTTAAAAGAATTGAGAAATGGGTTGGTAATAATAATAAAATAGTTGTAAAAATATGAAGAAAATAGTGAGATGGGAATGCAAGGAATTGAAGGAGGTAGCCAGCCCATAAGATTTGACTAGAACAGGGAAGGTCATGAAAACATGGGCCCTGTGAAGTGCCTCTTCTACTCTGTCCCACTAAACCAATCATTACTGTTTTCTCTTCCCTTCTCATTCGATGTCGCATATGTCAATTGCCAACTCACGTGGGACGGTTCCCAGATTATCTCCCACCTTACCACCCAACTACATATCTTACACATATTTCTTATCAAACTAAAAACAATATTCATGCTCTTCAATTTTAAGAAATCTATAACTTTTAAATTTATATTAAATCATATTTTTATTATTATTATTATTAATTTTTAATAAATAACACTGTATGTTCTTTGTATTTGCATGATAGGGCAGGCACGGATGAAGAGCCCGATCCCCAAGTATTGTCTCTCTGAAATTCCTTTTTTCTGACTTTTCTATGCATCCTTCAATTACTATCACTCAACTCAACTCAGCTGAATTCCATGCACAAAACAAAATCACTGTTACTATTTGCATTTTTACTTTTGCCTCTTTCTACAAACATATCTTTTCCTCAATTCATTTTCTTGCCTTTAATCCCATTTTCTTAATCATTGTCTTACACGCACAATAATCTATTTTTATTTTTTGTATTAGAACATGCTGTGTGCATCTTAAAATATCAATAAAATTATTAAATGTATAAGTTAAACTACATTAGTTACATTATTTTCCTTAAAATATTTAATTTTGTCAACATTTACACTTAAGTATTTCAAAAATTAAAATGCATTCATAAAAAAATTATTTAAAAATCCTTAACAAAAGATTTAACATTTGCTACTTTGTTTTAATTTTCAACGTTATCTTTTTATTTTATTTTATTCTGTTAGATATATTAAATGTTCAGTTTACAATAAATGTCCTTCCATTAACCTCTACCAAAGTCACTCTTCCTTTCCTCTTTTTCTGCTTCTTCATTCCTGTTCTCTCCCTCTTCAACCACTACTACTAGTACTACTTCTCACTACGACACTGTAACATCTCAAATGGAGCAAACCTTCCACTTTCACTTTCTCATTTGTGACACCCCACTCTTTCATTAGCAGCCTCCCATGTTCCTGTCTTTGTTGGAACCAAACAACCTGCGACCACGACTCTGCTTCACAATTCTAAAATGGGTTGCTGTGTCAGTACCAACAGATCTTATTCTTCGCCCTCAAGCAAGCCTTGTGAGCCACCACCAAGATCTACTGCGAAAGGTTCAGAAAACAGAGCACCGCCACCGGAGGAAGAGACGGTGAAGGAAGTGTTGTCTGAAACACCCAAATGGAAGCCCAAATTCGAAGCGGAGAAGCCCCCACAGACCGAAGTCGAGAACGAGAAGGAGAAGCTATTCATCAAGCCCGAAGAGATCTCTGAGGTTTCTGAAGTTTGCAGTCTAAGCGAAAGCGTGTCCACACTCGCCGACGAAGAAGCGCGTCAAAGAGTCAACAGATCTCCGGGGAAGGTGCGTAAAGCGCGATCCTTTTCCGGCGAGCTCGGGGCCCGGAGGGAGAGAACGGCGGGGAAATCCCCCGCGAGGAGGCCAGAGCAGTCGCCGGGGAGAAGAAATGTTGGGTCGGTGAGAGTTGTTCAAATGGGCAATGGGGGAAGTGGAAACCAACCTCGCCGCCGAGACCCCGGCGAGAATTCCGGTCGTCGATCCAGGTCGCCGGCCACCCGCAACGACAGCGTGGCATCTAGATCCGTCGTGGGTCGGAGCCCGTCGGCGAGGAGAACAAATCAATCACCTGCTCGGGTCAGATCCACGGCGGCGGAGAGCGGTTGCCGGAAAATGGAAAATTCGTATGTGGAGGGTAAATGGCCTTCTTCGGCTAACGAGTCCCTAGAAAACCCACTTGTGTCGTTGGAGTGCTTCATATTTCTCTAGACAAGGGAATTATGGCGGTGATGGCACCATAGAGTAGGTGAAATTAGTGCTGAAGTTATAGTCGCTATTATTGTTATTGATTACTAGTTCTCTCTGTGTTAACTCATACTAGTATTAATTGCTTAGTACTTTATTTATTTTTAGTGTCTGAAGTAATTGGTGAGCACTTTGATTGGGTGTAGGAAGGTGTAAATAGACGAAGTCAATGGTGAATTGTAGGAGAGAGAGTTATTATTGGAGGGAAAGGAAAGTATGATTTGGATAGCTGAATACGTAAATGGTGAAAACTAAAAAGAAAACAAAAATTGACCTGTGTTTGTTTACTCGCAGTGCTTTTGTCTTTTTTGTTTTTTCTCCCCCTGCGTGTAGAATTTTCTTCTGCTTCACCTATTGGCAGGTTTGGAAAGATTGCGTTTCTGCCATTTATGATTCAGTCTGTACCCAAATATTCACCCTCGCTTTTCTGAAAGTGAAAGATGCTAAACTACTTGCAATTTATTCACTGTTTTGCTATAACAACAAATTTTGTTGTTTAATTATAATCTGTTACCAATATATGTGGATAAAAAGAAGGTTCCGACAGCGGATTCATGAAAAAGTTTTGGAGATTCCACGAGAAAAATCAACTAAAAGTAAAACACACTGCATGCTCTTAAAGATGTCTATTACCTACCCGCTTGTATTTTTCTATTTTATAAGTAGAGATTTTTATTTATTGAATGACTCGCATCAACATTTTTTAAAAATGAACCTGTGTCATATGCCATGCTGTAAAAAATGTTAAAGATTCTTCTTCCCTCACACTACAACAAGCAAAATAATAATACTAAATCCGGTTGTCTGAGGTGTATTTTGAAAACCCAGTTGTTTATACATAAATCCCCTGCTACAAATTCTTAATGAAAGAATAAATAGTCGAAAAAGTAGGGGAAATATTTGTATACATAAACATAAAATATACGTATTTTTTATTTCTAATTTTTATTATTTTATTATTATATAATTATTTGTTTTTAATAGATAATATTTGTATACATATAAAAAAATGTGTGAATTTTTTAGTTAATTTTTCATATTAAAATATTATATTTTTTATAATTAAATTATTTTTAAATTTTTAATTGGTGAAATACAAATAAAAATATTATAAAAACATGAGTATTTATAATAAATATTATTAAAATAAATTTTGTAAAATTTTAATAATGAGGAATAAAAGATATCAATGTATCAAATCTTCTTGTTGTTTGGGATGATCTTCTTCCACGGGATCGACTTTCATCTCTATTATTCGAATAGGTTTCATACAATCTTCTATTATTGAATTAAATATATATATATATATATATATATATATATATATATATATATATATATATATATATAAAATTATTTTTATTTTAAAAAAATAAAAAATTATTTTAAGGCAAATATTTAATAATTAGAATATAATAATAATATTTTAAATCTAAGATTAACCTTATAAATAATATATATTAAAATAAAAATTATTTATATAAAGTCTCTGTAAATACATCTTATTATTATTATTCATATGCAATATTTTAATTTTAATTTTATAATTTTTTTTCACTTCTTTTTTATTTTTCTCTTTTGTATGCTAAGTCTCTTGTTACTGTGAAGTAGAGTTGATAATAAATAAATATTATTTATTAATTAATTTGACCACCTTTCTCTTGCCTTATATAATTAAATTGGTGGTGTGTATTTTAAAAACCACGTCAAGTTAGTTTGTTAATAATAATTTGTATAACTTCTCTTCCATTTTTTCTCTTGTGCGGGTCTTTATTCTATATTACACCTTGTCAAATATTCTTAATTTAAACTACTGGTCCTCTTAAATAACCCAAAATTAATTTATACTAATAATTCAACCACCAAAACAAACATAAGCTAAGGTCATGTTTAACTCATCAAAATTACATTCATTTGGAAATTAACTTCAATAAAAACAATTAGAGAAGTGAATACATTCATTTTATTCTAAAATAGAGGGTGATAATAAATATTGTAAGAAAATTACATTTTTAATATATATGTTGAAAAGAAATTTTATTAAGGTTCCTCATTCAATCGATTTAAAATTTATAAACGCGTTTGATTATTTTGGAATAGATGTTCTAGTGGAAATTTTTTTATAAAGTGTGTGAAATATGCGGAAAAAATAAAGTTAGTTTGGATTGAAGAGTTTAAGAGAGTAAAAATATAAAATTGTGAAGAATAGGATTATTTAAATTGAGGAGGAGAGAGTGTAAAATAAAAGGAAATGAGTATAAACATGGTAGAAGATAAAGTGGATATGATTGAATAAAAAAACCTATATAATAAGATAAAAATTATATTAACCAAAATATTCTTAATATTGATTTTCAGTAACATAATTAAAAATATGATATGATTAAATATAAAATAATGAATTTATATTATTGATAAAATATCAATATATTGAAATTAATTTATACATAAGTTACAAAAATGATTTGTGATATTCTATAAAATATTTTGTTATGATTATAAAAATTTAGAATTACTTTTAAAATAAATATAAAATATTTAAAAATAAAATTTAATTTATTAAAATAATTAATTTATACAAATTTTTATTTCACATACTAATGAAAAAAATTAAAATATAATAAAAATGTTATAATGAAAAATAAAACTACACATTAAAATTGCATTATTAAAAATTAAAATTTATTAATAACTTACATTATAATAATATATATATATATATAATTTTATTATAAATAACAAATATTAGAAAAACGACGTTTACGCTTCAATATAAATTCACATATAATAAATATAATAATATTATTTTTAACTTACCTCGCTATGAATTAGATAGTCATGTGAGTGATAGGAGAGTTTAGGTAGACATGTGAGTGATATAAGAGTTAGGTGATCATGTGAGGTAAGTAAGTGTAAATAGGCATGTAAGTGACATGAAAGTTAGATAGTCATATGAGTGGTAAGAGAGTTTAGGTAGGCATGTGATCGACAAAAGAGTTAGGTGGTAATGTGAATGGTAAGTAAATTTAGATATACAAAAAAAAAATATATATATATATATATATATATATATATTTATTAAATTTATTTAAATATTAAATCTATAATATTGTAATTTATTTGTATTTTTCTAATTTTTTACATCAAAATTATTATTAAATAAATGTTATTCATACAATATCTTATATAATTTTATTTTTTATTTATTATTCCTATAAATTATTATTTTATCAATTTTTTTCAAATAATTTATATTAAATAAAATTAAAATATTATATATATATATATATATTAAATATATTTGTATTTACTATATTTATAAAAATATATTAAACATATAATTATATAAATATATTTTTTATGATAGGTAAAAAAAATATTTATATTAATTTGATATAATTATATAAATAAATATTTAAATATTATATATATATATATATATTAAATATATTTATATTTATTATATTTATAAAAATATATTAATAATATAATTATATAAATAACATTTTTTAATATATATATATATATTTTAATAGATTTAAAACATTAAATTTTTAATAATTATTATTTTTTATTTAAAATATTTGACTTTTTAAAAAACTGTGTTACACTTGTAAACAATAACTACAGTGTGCTGTATATAAAATTTTATATTAAAATAATGTTACTCGCGAAAAAAATTCTTATCTGGTTGTGCCCGCGAGGGAAAATTTGTAAAAAATGAATAAAAATATGTAACATTGTTATTTTTAAAATTTACATAAGTTGAAACATTTTCTGATTCAGGTGACTGGCAAAATATTTAGGAAAAAAACAATAGGAACTCTCTAATTTTAATTAACTTATTAGTTCTTTAGTATATTCTATAAAGCTCCACAAAGTTCAATAAGAAAAACTTAGAACTGTTAAATAGTTTATTTATTTATTTATTAGTCGATAATTAGAAAGAAAAAATATTTTATTCTTATAGTTTGAATATGAGAGTAATTTTTTATTTTAGAAATTTATAGTAAAACCCGAAAAGAACTAAAATTTCATTTAATTTTTAATAATTTTGAAATTGTATTTAAAAACATAAAATGACATAAATATTAATAATTCTCAACATGTGCTTAATCTTAGGGGTTATGATATTTTTAATTGGTGAAAATTGTAACTAATCAATATGGGAGTGTACTTAGATAAATGTTTAAATTTTATTTGAAAAAGTACTTATTATTATGGAAAAAAACTGCCCATAATTACTTTCTAGTAATAGAACACACAAAAAATAACTCACTAAAAAATTGAATTTGAATAACTTTTTATGGGATCGAATCAAATGTAGAATTCAAACTAATTCGATACTAAAATAAAATTTAACGTAAATAACATTTTTTTTCTAAATTGATTCCATTTAATTTGGAAATAGTAGTAAATTATTTGAAAGTAGTAGTATTGAACAGTGAGATTTAAGTCATTTTTCACTTTCGTTTCCCCTTTTTTCTTTTTTCTTTTTTAACGAAAAACAACACAAATTTTTTATTAAACATATGGAAGAAGACAAAGATAATTTTATTAAGAAGTTACATGTATTTTGAGACTAATCTTGGTATTTAAGCACCAATGCTTAATTAAGATAGATTTGTTTCTTGGTTTTCCATGAGAGAAGGAACTTCCAATGAAAAAACAATATCTCGTGATTGAACGTCTTGAGTCCACACAGGTGGCCCAATCAGCGTCGCTAAAACCAGAAACTTGAGTCGGACTGATTCTAGGGAAGAAGAGACCTCTACCCGGGCAACCTTTAAGGTAACGAAGAACACGCATAGCTGCAACATGATGAGCTTTGGTGGGCTTTGACATGAATTGACTCAGCTGTTGTGTTGCAAAAGCAATATCAGAGCGAGTATTCGTCAAATACACCAATTTGCCAACAAGGCGCCTATATGGCAATGGATCATCAAGATAGCCAGAAGCATCAT